AACACGTAAATTCCTTCCGGTATTTTCCTTCGCCCTTTCTTGTCCAACAATCGATAAATTTTCAAACTGAGTATCTCATATTCGGTGCACATTATGTTCGATTGATTCAACACCTCTGCATTTGCAAAGCCTGTTGAACGAAGTATTTTTAAACGATTTGATGAACAACAATTCGATTTACAGCCTAAGCTACTTAACGAATTGAATCGAAGCAAAGTGACTGAAACGGGCGTATAATCAGAGAAACTCACAACCCGGTTCTCTATAACGGATGATGTATCACATCACAATCAATCTTTCTTCGGAACTAGCCCTGGAATCTATTTCAGTATTTTCAAAAATTCAGACGTAATCATCGTCATACAACTTGCAATCGCACTTGAATAGCACTGAGGTGAGCTTTGTTGGCTTTAAATGGCATCAAGTTCAAGCAAGCATTATTATTATTTATAGAAAGCAAAGTAATAATTTTCGAAAAGTATCTGGTATTGCGTCACTGATCGATGATAATGAGAGGTATTTCTTTTTTGTCTTTCCTGAATTGTGTGGAATTGTACAGCGGAGGCAGATGGAGACGCGGGAATGGGCAGCCGATTAAGTAATTATCACCAATTCTATTCGTACAATTTTTCGTTACGTGATTCTCTTTTTAGTTCAGTCAAAAGAGAATTGATAACATTTTGATGTCTCGTGTTTGCCTTTTTTCCCCATATCCCATATAATAATTGAAATCGCGTGCTTTTGTTACAAGTGCTTCACATCAGCAACAGACACACATACATTAGTAAAGAATTGTGTGCAATGTTGTTTTGGAAATAAAGAAGAAGCGAAGGACAAAAAAGTGTCGTCAGTGATTTTAAGGTTAATAAACCGGTCGGTGTTAACTTTAAATGACAACAACAAAAACAGACAGTGTTTATTGTTTTGTTGACATTTCGTATCGGATTGTTTGCCAGTTTATTGACATTTCTTGCGGCAAATTTCGTTTCTGCTTATCTGCGTGTAATTATTTCTCGAGTTGAGAGTAAATTGCACACCAATTTTTGGCGGTTCAACTGAAGGCAATTTATTAACATGTTATGTGTTATAGGACAAGCAAACCTGTTCATTTTGGTTAATGAAATGGACTTTATTGTTCGTATTATTTTTTTTGTGTAAAAATTTATTGTGTATATCACAAAAGCCAAGTGCACATAAAACCCCAATATTGACAATGGTTGTAATGATAATGCTTTTTGGTATAACGGTAGCATACAAAATACAATGCGGCGGCATACACTTGAATCCCGCTCAGCTGTTAGAATTCACAGAAAAAAAAATAACAACGGTTGTGTATGTATACGACACGATGAAAAAGTAAAACCGGCATGAGAAAATACACCGACTCGGAGGATGGGGGGAATCAACTCGCCGAGCGGAAAACAAAATCGATAAAATAAGTTTATGTTTATTTTAGTTTAGGAGATTCGAGGATGAAAGCAACAACAACAACAAAAATGAGCGGTAACCATAATATGACACGCATTTGGCGATTCAATGAATAAGACAGAGAGCGAGAGAGAGAGAGAGAGAGAGGAAAATAAAATGAATGGCAAATGCGAAAAGTACAAAGGAAGAGAAAAAAAAGACGACACGGCGGGTAAAATACAGATTCCGAAGCAAATAGACATGAAAAATGAACACACACACACAAATAATAACAACAACAATAATAATCATAATAATAAACATCGTCATCATCACAATAGAACACGATGAACGAAGAAGGAGTAGTTTGTCGGGAGAGAAATTGGAGGAAAAAAGCGAAAATCGTCTCATGATGACGACATCAGCGACGGGCTGTACAAATTTACGGAGATTTATGTTTATATATATAAGACATTCACTATACATACATGCATGTATTTTGATTAAACAAAAAAACTTCTTGTAGGTCATGTACACAAAACAGCTCACGCTTCAATACGTACATTTTACATATATGATATCGTACAACCCATACACATCTATATAAATAAATGTATTGAAGAAAGCAAGGAAAAAAAATCAGCACGCCGAACTCTCAATATTAGCGAGAGAGAGAGGGAGAGAGAGAGAGAGAAGAACGAGAAATAATTTAGAGTATGGCATTCCGTGTTTACGTATGGTTGTTTTTTTCTCGTTGCTTTGATTCTCTCAATAAAAAGAATATTTGGTCGGTATTTCTCCTTGCTCTCTGCATGAATATAGTACGGTTTACATTCGCAATTTCGATATGGCATTGGCCACACAAAAGATATGTATAAAACCATAAAATATGCATGCACGATGACGCACCACAAAGCAACAAATAAATGCAATAAAAAGGAGCCGAGAGAGTAAACGGGGAGAGAGATAGACCGAGTTACGAGATAGTGATTTGCCGGCACCATTCATTTGATATGCAACCATAGTCACTCTTATTCAACAAAACCCATCTATCTGATAAAATAGGAAAACCGAACACCGAACATGTAATCTATTGGTAAATATGCCGGCGCATTCGTGTATGATTCATGTGTGTGTGTGTATATATTACATGCATGAGATGCATTGACACCATGCTAGACACAGAGAGAGAGAGAGCGAGTGAAATCTATACGCTCGTAATACGGAATCGTGGCGACTTTGAATTCTCGCAAAACTAAACCAAAACGTGGAAATAAACACACGAAAACCGATTGGAAGAGAGTTGAGACACACACACACAGAGAGAGAGAGAGAGCAGCAGAGCAGCAACAAAAAAAACCATCACCATCAACACCGGCATTGAATGCCAAGATGGGCACAACACAAAAACATTGAATGGAACTAACCAAAGCACATGGCCAATCATACAGATGCGCTTGTGTGGCGCTTATTTTATACGCGCCGCTTCAATATGTACTCCGAATTGATTACGAAACCGCGCTTATTTTGCCGAATAAACAAACAAATGCAAATCATATTCATTGATTACTTTTAAGCAGCTGTTTTTTTTTTCGTCGTCTTCATCATCATCATCGTCATCGTCATCGTCGCCGTCGTTCACACCGCAATGAACTTTACTTTACCAAGTGAAACTTCTTTCGTTTCCAGATACCCGTGAAAAAGATGAGATGAATGAGAAAGAGGTAAAAAAAAACAGAAACAAAAGCAGAAACTCAAACCGTATCGTTCATTTGGCAAGATCAATCACCACATTGGGGTCAAAAGTTTGGTGGCAATAGAAAAACACGTTTTATTAATATACCTTGTTGTTTGAATTCACGTATATTATTATTAGTATATCTACAGCTATATATACATCGTAGCCTGACGTGTGGCTCGTATTCAAAAGTGTGAGTTGTTGATTCGAGTGCAGTGTGCTTCGCTATTACAAAGCGTACAAGTGAATCACACGTTGAATTGAAAGTTATTGACACAAAAACGATTTTCAATCGAACCACATTGCAATGACATTTGGTCGATATGCCATGCCATGCAATGTATAGGTTGACGATGAAGCCAGGTTCGACGCCTATTTATTTACAGGCCAATACTAGCGTTACAGCCACATGCCAAACACTTTTCATGTCGACTAATATTAATGAAATTTGAGAACATCGTTCCGAATTCACACATAATTCGAAGCGAAGTATTCATTCGTTTGTTCTCTCGTTCGCTGTGCTTGGCTCAATGTGGCGCACACACAACAAACTTGTGAATTGGTCGTTGGTAGCTGATCAAATCATAATTTGAATTATCCAAAATGCGTTCGACAATGTATCCAGCCATGCATATACGGCCATTGCGATTGCTTGTAGTGTCACATTTAGAAACTCATTAAATCATCAATGGCTTTTATCGAATCGAGTGTGTCGCATAGTGTGCTTGCCGATAAATCGACACAAGTGTCCCTGTGTGCCACATGCACACGGGTGATGATTATTATTATACGTACACAAAAAGCCAAATCCAAGGAAAAAGGTATAACACGATCCAATTGTGTGACATACGATGGAAAGAGACATGCGATTTTCAATTCATTTCGGAGTTTGTTTTGTTTACATTATTTACATGATGTTTTGCATTCACACGTTTCGATTGTTTTCTTGGCAATGGAATTGCAACAGTGACAGTAGCAACAGCAGCTGCTGCTGCTGCTTCTGCTATCGCCGCTATATTTTATTTGCGTTATATTTTCGTAGACGTAGTCGTTGTTGTTGTTGTTATTGTTAGTGGTGGTCGGCATTACTCTCTCTCTCTTTCTCTATCATACCGAGTACCTGCTGCTTCGCGTGTGCTTTTATTATTTATGTCAATAAATTAGTGAAACGAAATTGCCGATTAAATTGTGCTGAACTCTAAAGTGTGTTGTTTCAGTTTGTATGCCGGCGTTAATAGCCGCACATTTTTTTATATTTCTACATGTTTGTGTGTATGCGTGTCTTCGAGTGTGTTGATAAGTTTGTGTTCGTATGTTGTTCTCATTTCGTGGTGTGTAACTTATTAAAATGTCAAATGTAGCGGTGAAATTTACAAATTGCCAGACAAAATGCTAATTAGTCTATTCATTCTTTATTGTGATTGGAATTTGAATGAACGCTATTTCCAAAAGGATGTGGTGTTTAGAGGCACGTCAATTTCGTAACAATGGCTAAACTTATGCTTAATGAAAATGAATGAATGAATCGGTTAGGTTCAAATGTCAGTGATTTTGTTTTGCACTTTGGGTGAACACACATGGAGAGAGAGAGAGAGAGAGATATGCGATGTCTAATGATTTATTACATTTTCTATATACAGTCGAATTCGATTGAAAAAGGGAATGTTGACATGTTTTTTTTTTGCTTGTTTATCTGTACAAAACTGAAGTTAGATACAAATGAGGGTTTGAGACACTTGTTGTGATGTGATGAGTTGACATTGTTTTGGATTTTATTCTAATTAAAGTTTTAGTCACTTTTCTTGTTTCTTTTTTTAATGCGTTACGATCGAAAGAAAATCGAATGAAAACTTACCGCATTTGGAGGTGGTGGTCGGTAAGCTTGTTGGCCCATTTGAGGACTGTAAGGACGCTGTTGAGGAGCAGCCGATGGATTCCATGTTTGGGCACCATAGGCTGGCTGCTGACTCGTTTGTTGTTCGTAGCTGTTTGGGTATCGATGATGGTGTGGCTGCGGTGGGCCACCCGTCTGATGCGATTGCAATAGGGAGTTTAGTGTCGGCGTTTGTCCAATCGGGTTTGGTGGCTGCTGTGTTTGTTCTTGTGCTGCTTGCTCACCCGTATGTGGTGCATGAGTTGGGTGAGCCGAATAAGATTGTTGCTGCTGCTGATTCGAAGCCGATGTTTGTGGCTGCTGTTGCTATATTTGGTGGTGAAGATGGTGAAGAAACGCACAAGAAATCGAGGAAAAACATGAGTATATGACATAATAAACGTTTAATACGTCTTCGTTTTTGATCAAAAGTGCTGTTAAAACATGAATCATTCATTTGTAGCGCATCAACTTACCGGATATCTTTGTGGTGGTGGTCGATTTGGTGGCATTTTCATTTCAAGCCCTGCGATTTGATAGAAAAGCAATAATGAGCCGATTGTTCAAAGGCGTCGAGAATCTATTTGAATGATCAAATATTTGCCTCGGGCAAATGCCAATTCTAGCTCATACACACACACGTTGATCTGAATGGCATTTGCACGCTTGCAAACATTCAAGCATTCGCCCAAAATCTTCATTTGACAAAGGGCTTAGATGCGATGTATTGAATCGATTATCTTACCGCCAGGATGGTATTGTCTTCCGTACATATCCATTGGGGGCATATTTGGATCGTGGTAGCGACCGTATGGTGGCGCTTGTGGATTATACATATGCTCAATTGGTTGCTACACAAGGAATAAACCGTCGAATTATGTTAGTGAATGTGATTAATTTTTGTGTGCGGTCGCTATTAGACATGACATGACAACCACTTCAAAATGAAAATAGAAAGGCTTTTTCAACCGTACACTAACTCTCACCTGCTGCTGATCAATTTCGGGTGGCATATGATGATGTTGCATTGGATGTCCGTATGGACCTAAGTGCATGCCGCTCGCATCATTATGCGTTGGGGGCATTCCAACTGGACCAGCTGCTGCACTATTCCCATTCGGCCCAGATGGTTTGCCTTTCTGTGGTTCATTCATATTTGACACATTTTTTGTTACATCCAAATTATTACCGTTTTGTGGGAAATTCTTGCCCGTTACATCGTTCATATAGCTATTTTCACTAGTCGGCATTTGATTTAGGCTGTCATTTTGTTGTTGCGCCATATTTTAGTTCTCAACAACACGAAAAAAAAACACACTATTAACCGTTCTATTCGGCGTTGCTCATGTATGCGAGCCTGTTCAATTCTTCGTGGTGGTTGTTGTTTTCGGTTTTCTTCTTTTGTACACAAGCACATTCGTTTGATGCATATAAACACATAAATATATAACAAACAAAACACACACACACACGACACGCACCATCCGAAGCGCGCGCGTATGTCTCACGAAACACGTCTCACCGAAATCAATCTAAATGAAATCGTCCACATCGATTTTCACGTCAATTTTTATTTTATTTTATTCGAACAAATTTATTTTTGATTTCTTTCTTTTTTCGATTTGAAATTTTCCGCTTTTTTGTCCTACGGTATTGTCTTTCCAAGTCTCATTTGGATTCGTTACCAGCCGCACAATTTTTCATTTACTTTGATTACACAACTGACATTTCTCCATCTATTTTCTCTCTTTCTCTCATGCGTTTCGTTTTGAAAACACACACTTTTGCCTCACTAATTCTTTTTTATTTCAACAATTTTTTTTCCTTCATTCTCTTCAATTTTATAACATCAAGCACATGATTCGATGGTTATCGTGCTGCTTAGAATTCACAAAAAAATTCGTATGCCAACACCCAAAAATTTGATTCAAATTTCGGATTTCCATGAATTGGTTTGGTCACTTCATATTCGATGCAATTTCTTTTTCACTGACGGTAAATTCATCCTGTACACAAAATTCCAAGGAAAATAGAGATAGAGGGAAAAAGAGAACGGAAAAGCTTAAATTAAAAATAAATTCAATGAACCAGCAGAGAGAAAAAAATATAATAGCGTATCGAAAAAATATGTGTTTTTTTTGTGAAAAAAAACAGAGCTTATGAACAAGTCGACGCAAAAAAACACTGTTTCCCGTCGAGATAGAATATTTTCACTGATTTCGGTGTCACATCCACACATGGAAAATTGAATTGATACAATGCACAAAATAGCAGTTTCAGTGGAAAAACTGCATTTTTTGAACACTGGCCCGATCGATGGCTGCGGTTACGAACGCTCGACCAACAAAACCCATTTCGGTTGCATGAAATATAAAATACTTTGAATCGAAATGAAATGTGGTGAATTAAAAACTCTCTTGTTGTTCAGCTTGAAATGAGATGTACTCGGCTTCACTCTCTCTCTCGCTTGCTTTACATGTCTCTCACTCTGTTTGTGTGTGGCTCATGCTTTTTGCTCTCAATTGCTGTGTGTATCCTCTGTGTTCATTTGACTCGCAAGCTTTATTTTTTCAATGGAAACATGACTCTATCCAGCGCAATTGCTTCGATTATTTGATTTCACATAAATTACTATTTCAATAATTTTCCTAACGCTTTTCAATGGCTGAAAAATTTGCATATATTTCCAATGACGCGATCGATGTGTATATTTTCTCTCGTTCGCTCGTCATTTTCACTCGCCGAGATCATTGTGGATGGCCATTAATATGGGTTGATACAGAGAGAGAGAGAGAAATGATTCGAGGCGAACCATAGCAATGCAGCCAGATATACAGAATATTATTTTGCTTTCGGATTTTCCCTACCACATATAGAATAAAATTTTAATTCGAATTTATTTGAGATTCGTTTTTATTTCAATTTATTTATTTTTTTTTCGCATTTTATTTTTTCATTCTCGTTTCATTTCGCGTTCATGTTCCACATACTACATCGTTGAAATTGTGTGTGCAGTTCACACTCACACAATTTTAGCACACACAGAGTGAGAGCCTCAAAACTGGCTGCGATTCGTTGTTCGAAGTGCTATAGCCGCTGTTTTGTTGGTACGCGTATGTATATATGATATGAATATGTGTGAATTAAACCGAATTGACGATGGTGACGACGGTATAACGCCGTCGCTGCATAATCACATTGAATTCAGTCGAAATAAAAGAATTTCTACCGATGAATATTTTTTCTTTTTCTGTATATTTATTTTGCCATGTATTGAAAGGCAAAATATCGCTTTTTCCATGTGTGTATCCCGTTTTTTTTTGTATTCGATTCAAATCAATTTTTCTTCACACAAATTCATTGAAACACTTCACTTTTGTATGAAACTTAAATTTTTTTTCTCCTCTCTATCTCTCTGTTTCTCTCTATCGCTCTCTACTCTCGACTTGAGAACATTTGTACACCCAAGTTGGCTTACACTCAATAGTTATGACAACTCAATGAAACGAAAACTAAATCGATGCATTTGTTTCAGTGCAATAAATCCATTATTGTGAAAAAATCGCTTTTTCATTGAGTAAATTCGATGTGAATTCAATTCAGCGGGGCAAAAAAGAGTCACGACGACTGTGTTTGAATGGCGACACCGAAATCGGTGCAAATATTACGTCTACATGAACTCAACACTGTTTTCTGTTTGCTGAAAAATTTTCTCTCGACATTTTTACAGCTTGCTTGAAATGGTTCCAATTTATTTTTCTCGTCATCGGTACTCACTTTTTAAGAATTTTTTTTTATCATTTTTCCTTTCGATCACACGCAAACACTTTGTTTCTTTTGCAGCGAGTTGTAGAAAAAAATTTATTTGTCGTTTCAAAATTCCGAACCATCCATTTGGTGTGTTCACACAAAATCTATTTTTCGTTTCACTCTTCGTTTTTTTTTTTACTTGCTGCTACTGCTGCTTCATTCGCTTCACAAAATTTTATCGTAACGCGCACTGTTCACAAACATTACCGTACTTAATTTATTGGATTTTTCTCATTTTCTCACACTGTCTGCTTTAAATAATAAATTACAAAATAAAAGAGAACAAATTAAAAGAATTTTCGAAGCTGTTTTCTATTTTGTGTGGTGAGTCTTGTGTGTGAATCGAGTTTCTCTTGTAACTCGGCAGCGACATTTGCATTTTGCTTTCGCGGCGGTGACGCGAACAATACGAAGGAAATAGAAGAAGACAGCACAGCACACTGACTATTGTCGAGAAGAGTACAACCAGTGCGCACACACATGAAATGCACACGCACACATCGGCACCGCAAATGGAAGCGATACACAGAGACAGGCCCAAAAGAAAAATGGTGTTTTGTGTTTGAAGCGCGTTCGCATTGAAGGTAGCAGCGTTGCGGTTTGAATATGGAAGCGGTTTATCATTGGTTTGAGCATGGGTACGTTCACACGACGCATAACATATGGCGCCAATTTGGAAATGACATTTGCTTAACATCAATTGAATTGAAAAATGGAATGAAATTTGGGTTTCATGATTTAATCCAGAGTAAAATGATGTGTTTTTTTAGCTTTATTCGATTTTTTATTCATTTTCATTTTGTTTTTCAGCCTTTTTATGCATTTGATTCAGCCGCAATGGAATAGGCGAACGCACACCCAAAGTATGGCGGCCATTGTAATTGAGTCATTTGACTGTAGTGGAAGATAAAATTGGAAAGTCCGTTCCGATTTCACATACGAGTGAAGTTGTAGTCGTACCGAATTGGCTTCAACCAAAATTTGGCCAATCCTCAAATTTGATGTGTTCAGCATTTTTTGAAGCGGATTTGAAAATTTGTTATCAAAATTTAGATGCGATGAAAAATGGTGAGAAGAAGATGCTTTTTTCAATATGTTATACATGTCATACCCGTACATTCTTGCTGCCTTGCGATCAAACAACTACCAAATGGCACCCTTTCCCACTTCCAATCGGTTTGAACAAACAAACGCTACCCAAAAAAATAAAAAAAACTGCAATTTCTTGAGATTCACGGAATTTTGTTTTATTTCCAAAAAGAAAAATGATTTATAGAAACATTTCTTGTTCCCGCTGTCAATTGACCGGAATGCCAGTTACACTAATGTAAATGTTGAATAACGATGTGAAAGAGATGTTGAACGATTCAAACGATTTATAGAGTGAGCGCAACATTCTTACAATTTATAGTTTGATTGATGTAAAGTTATACAACGAAAATTAGCTAGTTACGACGAAAAAAATAAACAGATTCATACAGAAAGAAGCCTATTTTGTTGTGACACACTCAAAATTTTACACCAATTTCGATTAAAAATTATTAGTAGAAGAAAAAAAATGCACGAAATTATAAGAAAAATAGAGTAGAAGTCAGTAGCTTAGAACCAGCAAAAGCACTTGTGTGTGTATATATAATTTGTCTTCTGTTTGTGATTGAATTTAAGCGATCGAAAAATACTGCTAGTTGTTCCATTGAGATTAAACCACACTGTGGCTTTGATTCGCTCATTTCTTCTTTGTCGTTGCATTTGTTGATTGAAATACGGACGAGGCCGACATTAAATTTTCAATATACTGGCCCAGCACTTGGTTTTCCGAGCGAAGTTTCAAGTTTTCCTCCTTCACACCATCGACTCGTTGCGATAAATCTGAAATGGAGCATCCGTGTCAACCGAACATACTCAATGAAAATTGTAGAGAGGAGAAAATACCCACCATCAAGTGTATTCTGAAGCTCAAGTACTTGTGAAATCAAGCGTGCTTTTTCCTCTTGTTCATCTGGATTGATATCAGGCTCCAGTGACGAACTAGAACCATCATTGTTGTACATGCTAGGCAGCGAATCACTTGATTTGGTTCGATTCATATTGTCATTGGAATCCTCAATTATGGCTGTATATAGTATCGAGAGAAAAAAACTTAGTTATGTTAAATGACTCTCAGAAATAGACAACTGATTCAACTCAATTACACCCAATTCACCTTGTGGGTCGTCATCGGCCAAAGGAATGTTATCATCTTTTATCGACATAATTCTTGGATAAACTTTCTGTTGCGCTCGATTAATCTAAATTGTCTAAACCATCTATCGATGTTTCAGCTACAGCAAAAAAAAAATCGCAGGAAATTGTGAAACACACACAAAACACTGGTCGTTCGAATGGTATTGCACGAATATCTGACAAAGATAAAAACAATAAAATCGATTCCTTTCTTTTCTCTGCTTCAATAAGTCAAACAAATGTCATTTTCCGAATGACTTAATATATTTCGTAATACGTAATTTGGAAAAATTGGGTTTGCTCCCACAAAAGGCACATTGCTGCGAACGAATTGAATCAAGCAACCATTTGAACGCGGATCTGTCTTTTGTATAGCTTAAAAAAATAATTTTTTCTTCAATACATTTTTGCAAATCTCTAAATTTGATTCAATTGCCGACCAACAAACACGAAATTAAACCAACAGACATGACAATTTAACGTTCTCGGTACACGAAATCGAGTCGCGTGAGTGCAATTTCGTAAACGGTTCTGTGTATGTGTGAGTGGTTAAGCGTGTGTGTTTGTGTGTCCACTCACTACGTCTTTTTTTTTCTTGTCGATTGGCACGACATCACGGCTAACATACATTTTGATTCAGTTCTCATAATTATTCTGTAGTTGGTTTTGGTCGCACAAACCAATCGGAAAAATCCACTCCGCATACAAAAAGTTGAGAAAATTAAAACACGCGCGTTTTCAATCATCCTGTTGTTGTTTTTGGTTGCATTTTATTTTTTGTTCCATTTTTATTCTGAACGAAAAGCAAAAAATCAAACGAAATTATCACTTGAAAAGTTGCTAGTGAACCGAAACACCGCAGTGTAGAAAAGAAAACCAAACATATTGTTCATTTACCTTTGGAATCTGTGTTCAGCAAACAAAACAACGGATAACATTTTTCGCCTCATTATCATTATAAATTGCTCAGTTGTTTATCGGAACGCGCTTATTTTTAGCGGAAAATGGCTTTAAGTCAAACATCAGTGGTGGGTATTTGTTTGCAGTTTTGTTGAAATTGGCTAGCTAATGCAGCAGAACGAACATATATGAATGCGATGCATATGGAGCTATTTGATAAGTGTCGGCATTTATATTTAAATACATTTACCTTGAATTGGTGACAATATTATGCGTTCGAAATGAAAACAGTTATGGCTTCATATTTCGATTGTTGTTCGAAATAAATAAACAAAACGTCATGACATTTGCTTTATGAAGCACTTTGAGTACATTACATGGATCAATTTTATTGCTACTTTTGTCTGGTGGGATTGGTTTGTTTTCATGTTCTCCATTAAATAGTTTTACGACACTGATTGATGTTCTGTATGCATGAACGGCGGTGACAATGTATCTCGACACATACAAATCGATTGTGCACTATTCGCCAAATGCATTCAATTGTTCTCAAAAGTCACAATAGCTTATGCCTTACATTAAATAGCCGGACAATCAAACTAACCGTGTACCCATTTGAATTCTTTCAGTTGAAGCTCTATCACACAGTGATAGATGATGTAATAGCCGGCGTTCGGGACTCCTTTTTGGATGAAGGTGTTGATGAGCAAGTGCTGCAAGAAATGAAACAGGTATGGACAAACAAGTTGATGGCAAGCAAAGCAGTTGAGGCTCATATTGAACCAACCGAAACACAACCACCGCCGATCGTCACCAATAACACACCCAAATCAAAAGTATGCACATTTTTGTATTTGATTAAACCGGATATAAACTAATTGTTCTCCTAAAAATTGCAGCCAAATGGAACAAAATCAAAGAAACCGAGTGCACAACGAGAACACAAGAATACAGAATCAAATGCTGCACAAAATACCGTGGCTGAAGCATCCACTGAAAATAAAATAAAGCCCAATCAAACATTAGTTGTGACCCAGCAACATACGATAAACAAATCGGCTAACTCACAGCCCATTCAGACACAATCAACTGCCGTTCATCAAGTGAGTCACGGCATTTCAATGCATTTGACGAAAAACTTACTAACGATTCTCCTTTTTGGAATAGAAACAACCTCCTGCATTGGTTCCGACACAGTCGATTGCTCAGCAGCAAACAGCTCCGCCTCCACCTGCCGCTATCATCGGTCTTGATCCATCAAAAATCGTACCGATTCAAATAACGTGAGTTGAAGCCGGCTCCCCTTCCAGTTTACTTAAACTTCAATTCTAAGCCAACGTTGACATCACTTTCTTTTTTTTCAATTTTCAGTTTGCCCGCGTTGCCCAATTCGCCAAATCCAGAACCGCGTGTGCTGGAAATCCAAGTGCCTGCATCTGCATTACAAGAGAATAAATTACACAGTGCTTTAACTGCAACCAATATCATTCAATCGATAATGACTTTACCACCGGCAGTTGCTGCCTCTGTGCTACAACAGCATATCAATGCCGTATTGGCCAATAGTGGTACGACAATTGCCAAACAATTGGACGGCACCGCAGACACCTCAGATGATGAAGGTAGTGATGTAAGCGATGACAATTTGGATAATGATGACGATGATGACAATTTACAGGTAAAATGACAACGTTCAACCAAAGAATAATAAGACATTTTTGAAAAGACGATTCTCAATGTGCATGGTTTTGTTTCTGTACACAGGAAAATGAAGAAGAAGAGGAGGGCATTGGTGCTGAAGAGGAGCCTTTATGTAGTGATGACGATGTTTCGGAAGAAGAGAACCAAAATGACTTATTTGATACAGAGAATGTGGTGGTGTGTCAATACGATAAAGTATGCATTCAACCCGGTTCATTTCACACTTTAGTCCAAAATGCTAATGAACTCTGTTTGTAATCATTTCAGATAACGCGATCACGTAACAAATGGAAATTCTATTTGAAAGATGGCATCATGAATATAGGCGGCAAGGATTATATTTTCCAGAAATCAAACGGAGATGCGGAATGGTAAACATTTTGAACTGTTGTCGATTGATCAATGCGATTCAAATTAAGTTCAAATTTCAAAGGAGATAAAAAAAAACAAGCAACATTACTACTATTTGATCATTAATTTTAATTCCCCATTCACACATCTCCCTCAATCCCGTCTACACACGTGTTCATCTCTATCAACAAACAGCTGTGAGCCCCAATTCTGACCTTTTCATTTTCACTAACATATACTGGATTGAATCAGTTGTTTAAATCAATCAATGATTTTTTTTGTATATTTGAACTGTTTTTTTTTTGCATCTGACAATATTTGTCGCTATGTGTCCCCCCCATACACACACACATTCGCGACACAAACGGAACAAATAATGTCAAGAAAATAAAGTAATTCAAAGACTTAACATAAAGCGAAATCTAATTTTTATCTGTGAACGATAAGTTGCAAACGAAAATTTTGTTTGAAGAAAGGAAAAAAGAACTAGAAGCATTGATGATGAACCAACACTTTTGTATTAGACATGATAAGTTTCAATTTTGATGTACAACAACCGAAGAGCCGGCGAAGACAACAATATTTGTTTTTGTCTTAAGCATTGTGTTGCAACTGACACAAGTAAAACTGATCAGGAGACAAATCTTAATGAATATTACTGATACAAAAACTATTATATGTATGAAATATTTAAATTTATATCATTTTTCTCTGGCAAAATTGAAATAATGTAATATACGAGAATGTCATCGGACATAAATTAAAAAGATGAAAAATAAAAATTGAGACGAAAACAGTAGTTTCATTTCTAGGGCAGATGTAAATTGTACACCGCTATTTATCACTTACAAATTTACGGTCTACTACGTTTTGAACAATGAATCTAGTACATTCGCATTGATCAAAATAAATTTATTTTTTTCCCCTATAAAATCAAATTATAAATTTGGATTTGGAAATCAATTCTCGTCAATTTGTTAAATTGCATAAAAAAAGTCCTTTTATTTCCTCAAAATCAAAAATAATGCATAAATATTGCCTATTCGTAATTGGCACTTTGACATGCGACAGCTGTCATTAAATCTACTCATATTCATGCATAGATTTCGTGCACGGACCGTGCTCGACCATGCTCGACTCACGTACGATATGCTTGCAATATACACACACCGACCCCATAGCAGAACGCAAGCCGAAAAAATCCAAGATGGTGATATAGAGTCGGAGTTTGTTTTGCTAAGTGTGGACTTTATCGAGTTTATTTTGCCGCTCCGCTGTATCTAAATGAGCCCGTATTTTGTTGGCATTTTAAAAATAATTCAAATTCATATTGATATTGATGAATGTTTAACTACGTGCCCGACATACAAGTGAAGTAAAACAAAGAAAAGGTGTGAGTTTGTGGTTTTTTGGGCATATAAACAAAAATACACAAGTAATATAGCGGTAGTCCGGTGTTTCATGGTTGGGCAATACAATCGCATTTATTTTGTATTATTCGCGGGAAATATTCAAGCTACGCTGAATACATTCAATTTGAGACAGATTGATCATGTTTTTTTTTGGTTTGGATGTGATTTTTGAATGACTTGGAAATGATGGAATATTTTTTTCGCATCAAAGGGTGCACATTTTGATTCGTACATTACTTAATGCAAATCGCATACACCGCTTTTGTCACACAGACAATTCTGACAGTTACACACTGAACACCCTATGACATCCATTACATATTTCTGTACATTTATTCTATTACGAGTGCTTGAGCCTTTTTCGAAGTCAAATAGATGTGTTTCATTTTAACTTTTGCTTTTTTTCTATTATTTTTATGTATGTGTAAAAATATGGCTGAATAGCATTTTTTTTTAACCGAACCCTGTCACATTTCAGTAGTGTTTACAATTGCGCCAACCATGCTACCAGCGACGCACTGAATATAGATAGCATTGTGTTGGAACGAAAAAAATCCTTTGCTTTTTGAAAAGAAAAAAAAAATCATTTGGTTGAAACTTTTTTCCCCCATTTTACAGGCAAAACAAATTTCTAACGAAACGATTTTTTGTTGTGTGGAAAATTGGTTTTTGTGTTGAAAGTGAAAGATGTCTGATGAGAGTACAACAGATAATGATAATGTTAGGGAAAAAGAAGTTGTGAAGGAATCGACAACTGAAAGTGAAAATGTCACAGAGCCCAGTGGAAATGGTGACGTTGAAAATGCACAGCCACAAGAATCGGAGGAAAAAGTTGCGGATGAACCATCTGAAAATGAAAAACAGCCAACGGATTTATTCGATTCGTTAAAAGAAAATGACACTACCGATGGAACGGCAGATACAGTTGCTGTTGCTGAAGAACCCATGGAAGTGGATGAAGTGAGCTGTGAGTCTGAAAATGTTTCGCAAGAAAAACAAACAGAACCTGAACCAGAACCTGAAATAGAAACATCATCGAATAATGCACAAGAAGAGACTGCACAAAATGCCGAGGATGAAGAGACTAATCAAAATGAAGTGAGTGAAGAAAATGTTGAGAATGATGAAAGAAATAAAGAGAATGACGAAAGTGCAAACGAACAACAAAACGAATCGGTTCAAATGGAAGTCGATTGCGAAACGCCACAAGGCGAAGATGTTCCAGATTTTACGAGAAATGGCGATGATTCGGTCATGGAACACAATGTCGAACAATTTAATTGCAGTTCATTCAGTGATTCCACGCCGAAAAATCAAACCATATCCGATGATCCATTCGATTCGTTGCTGAAGGGCGATGACACAGACGCCAATCAATCAATGCAAAATGATACAAATGTGAGCAACACAAGCAGTGTTGATCACAATGACTCAGACGATCAAAACGATGCCGACGATCGAAATGATGCCGATGATCGAAATGATGCCGATGATCGAAATGATGCCGATGATCGAAATGAAGCAGATGAACCAGCTGGTAGCGATCATGAGGAGGATGATCGAGAAACAAGTTCACACCAAGATGGTTCAAACATTGAAGGTAAATATTGTACATGAACAATTGAAATATAAGACATCTAAAATTTGGTCAATTTTTTTCTAAAATATTCTCTCTTCATTCAGCTGTTGATGACATCGAGGAAGGGAAAGGAGCCGATGAGGAGCTGTGTTTGTTACCGGATGAAGAACGCGAGATTTCGGACGCGGACAAAGAGCGAGCACTGCAAAATCAACAGCAAGCCGATGAAAACGAGGATCAAGACAATGAACCGAGTGAAGGCATTATGGAAGGCATCGAACAGAACGGTTAGAAATTGATTCAAAATTCGTATTATTCTTCGGAAAATTTTCAAAACGAAATCAATTTATTTCTTAAACAATAGGTGAGAAGGAGCCAACCGAAGGTCAAACCGAAGAACAGGAGCAGGAGCAAGAGCAAGAGCAAGAAACAGTTCCGGAAAATGAGGCTGGTGAGCAGCCACAAATTGAATCCGCCTCCATTCCATGCACACCAAAGGCGGATGAAATCAAGGAAATTGATGCTGAGGACAGTGAAGAGCATCTGTGCGTTGAGTGCGGTCAAACAATCAAATGCAAATATGCATTGTTAAAAGAAATCACACCGCCCAAAGGCGATACCGAATCGACCGTACAGACCGAAATACAATATCTGTGCGACACGGGCTGTGTAACGAAATTCAATAATGCGAATGCACAGTATAAAGTGGTGGTGAAAAAGGTACCGATCTACTATGCCATGGACACCGAGCAAAAGTGTGAATCGTGCGAAGAAACGAAAATGTGTCGATATCGCTTCAAAGAAACTGCCAACGCGGAGGCATTCAGCTATGTTTGTGAAGATGATTGTTTGAATAAATTCACGGCATCACATCCAGACAAATTTGTCATAGCCAAGAAACGGTTTATCATTGAAGAGGCCAGCGGTGACGATGTGGAAAACGAAAACAAATGTTTGCAATGTTCGGACGAAACAAAGTGCAAATACACGTTCAAAGAAGATGAACAATCATTCTTTTTGTGTACTGAACCTTGTTTGAATTTGCTAATGGCCGAGCAACCGGATCGTTTTCGATTCAAACGCCAATCGATTCGAGTGAAAGACTTATCAAGGAAGCCGGTTAGCAATGTGGTTGAAGCGCCGCCAGCAAAGCGAACAACAGGTGCCAGTGAAAAGTCCAAGAAAATGGTGGCACGAACAGAAGACGAACAACGTTTGGCCGCTTTGGATCGTGAGGCCAGTTTTGGGCGTCGGTGTGCTCAATGCTACAGTGATGTATTGCTGAATGAGCCAAACCTTCAGTGGGAAACGATGGATTTTTGCAATGAATCTTGTTTGGGCCAATATCAACAGGCAATCGGTGCTGCATGTCAATCATGCCAGAATGCCGTTTCAGTTTCCAGCATGGGAAAATATTGCGTACGATTCGGTTTCGAATTACGGCAATTCTGTCGCTCCGCCTGTTTGGATACATTCAAAAAAGGTCTCAAAGTTTGCTCGTACTGTCAATTGGATATTGCAAAAAATGACGAATTCCTAGCACCAATCAACGGTCAATTCAAAGATTTTTGCTCGAGAAAATGCATGCGATCGTATGATCAAATTTTTAATCATAAAAAGAATACAGTCAAAACGTGTGCCGTATGCAACAATCCAAAAATCGTTCGCGTTGAGGTTGTCGTCGACAACAATGTCCATCATTTCTGTTCGAATCCATGCTTCTCGGCATTTAGCTTCGTGAATAATGTGACTCCAGGTAGGGACGCTTTTTAATTTTTTGATAAAATGCTGAGACTATTTACTATTTTTGATTTTCATGATTTGCTGTGTAATTTTTCAGATTGCTGTGCGATGTGTCGGAAATATTTCGAGCGCAAATCATCCAATGCGCATACAATTTACCAAGGAAATGATGCAAAAGTGTTCTGTTCCAAGATTTGCATGAACATCTACATAATAGCCAACCGAGAGATTGCCCCATGTCAATGGTGCAAAGTGCGAAAATACAACTTTGATATGATTCAAAAAGTGTCTACTACACATGGATCGATGATGCTGTGTTCGATCAATTGTTTATCGATGTGCGAAGTGTCGATGAATGCCATCGCAATGAAACAGCAAAAATGTGATCAGTGTAATTCGGTGACAACGCCACAATATCATTTAACCATGTCAGATGCATCCATGCGAAATTTTTGTACTTATCAGTGTGTCATGTCATTCCAAAGTCAATTCAGTCGGGCACCATTAACTCTAGAAGGTGAAGCTGCCGATCAACGATCGCAACCGGTTCCGACTGGTTTGCCCAAACGCATCAAAGCAAATCAACAGCAACAGCTAAAAACGGCACAGCCACAGGGTAAGGGAAAATCAGCACCAGCCACCAGACTTGCAAAAACAACCGGTTATCAAGCGTCAAAGCAAACGGCATCAAGTAATAATTTGGTGATTTCAAGCGTCACATCACTGGCCGCACCTACGCGAAGCACTAGACGCAGTAATCAAGCACAAAATAGTTTGACTGGCAATGAATTAAGTCGACTTCAACCTGTTGTTGAACTTGAACCACTCCCTGATAATATCATTGAAAAGACAACACGACAGGTGGGTAGACCGAGACAATTACCAGTTGAACAAGCATCAGCCGCCCCTCAGGTGCGCGTTGAAAAACAGACACAAATCGTAACTATTCCACCCTTGCCGAAAAAAGTTGCAAATGTAGCAACGCTATGCGCGCCATCTACACAAAACAAAGAAGTACAAGCAAGACCGATGCAATTCACTGTTGGCTGTCAAACAGATAGTTTCTTGGAACGGAAAATGGTCATTCCAATTCCAGGTAATTTTCAAAATTGAATGCGAGTTGAATAAAATGTCGGATGAAAAATTCAATTAATTTTTGTGTTTTACAGTTCCAATCTACGTCCCACAACCGATGGCGATGTACGCTCAACCATTCCCTGTACCAGTGCCGATACCGCTGCCGATTCCAGTGCCCGTATTCATTCCGACAACGAGGTATGTTGCATTGTGAATTTGTGTGAATTAATTTGATTATCATCCGTTTAAATTTCGGTGTGATCGTTGAGGGATACTCGTTTTATGTACTTCTAATTACTTCAGGAACTCGGCCAACGGTATAATGAAAGAGATTAAAAAGATTCAAGACAAAATGCCAGCGGATCCATTTGAAGCTGAGCTGCTAATGATGGCTGAGATGGTAGCGGGTGATAAAAAGAAGGAAGAAGAAACCGACAGTTCAGAAGAGGAAAATGACTGGTCCAAAGATCAGAATGTGGAAATATCGGGCAATAATTTTGGCGAAGACATCATGCAAATGGCACTCAAAATGGCCACAGAGTACGAACCAGCTGGTGTTGATCTTGAAGCATCGATGCAAGCGAATACGATTACACCACATTCACATCCGGGTATGGCTGGCCACGATGTCATGCAAAATCAGCATATGATGATGATGGAAGATCAACAGAGACCGACTCGAAAACGTGGTCCACCACCACGATTGCAGCAAGCAGCACAACGACAGCCAGCCAAACGAGCACGAAGAGGTGCCGTACAAGAGCCACCGCAACCCGAACCACCGCGAGAACCAATTGAAAAAGCCGATGCAAACATGTGCTTGAAATTCACATTTGGCGTGAACGCATGGAAGCAATGGGTTATAACGAAGAATTCTGAGCTGGAAAAGAGCTCAATGCGGCGGAAACTCTTCAAAACCGAACTACTCCAGCTGACCGCCGACGAATTAAATTATTCATTGTGTTTGTTTGTGAAGGAAGTGCGGAAACCGAATGGCAGCGAATATGCACCGGACACCATTTACTATCTTGTGTTAGGCATTCAAGAGTATCTCTATGAAAACGGTCGAATCGACAACATTTTCACTGACCCTTATTACGAACGGTTCACCGATTGCTTGGATGAAGTGGCCAAAAAGTTCTCAGTACTCTATAACGATTCTCGTGAGTATTCTTTCTATCAAATAGCATCGGGTTTTTTTTATTAAGTTCAACCGAATCGGTTGTAATAATTCAAACTATTAATGCATTTGCAGAATACATCGTGACGCGTGTCGAAGAAGAACATCTTTGGGAGTGTAAGCAATTGGGAGCACACTCTCCACATGTTCTATTGAGCACGCTAATGTTTTTCAATACAAAACACTTCAATTTAACGGTAATCATCAAGTTTCCTCTTAATTTTTTCAATATTTTGTATTTCTGATTAGACAAAATTAACTGAATACTTTTCGTTTTGGATTCATAGACTGTCGAAGAGCATATGCAGCTATCATTTTCACATATTATGAAGCATTGGAAACGAAATCCAAATCAAGGATCGGGAAAAGTGGCTGGCTCAAGGAATGTTCTACTTCGATTCTATCCACCACAATCGACGCATATTGGTGAGTTTCATTCTATTGAAATACTCTTAACTATTGAAAATGGAGAAAATTTCAATATTTTCTTTGAATTTTTTTTTTCACTTTAACCAAGTTTTGCAAATAATCAATCATAATTTTACTTTCACAGACAATTCGCGAAAGAAGAAAGTGTATGAACAGCAAGAAAATGAAGAGAATCCGCTGAGATGTCCTGTAAAATTATACGAATTCTATCTATCTAAATGGTGGGTGGAGTTTTTAATTCTTAAACTCTTTGTTTTTGATCGAAAGTGCACTTTTCCTTTGTGTTTGGCTTTGATTTGATGATTTTCCATTCAATTGTCCGTTGGATGACAACGGCGACGGATCAAATAATTCTTGACATGATTGATGCGATTATTTAACGATTTTTTTTCTGTTCATTTTTAGTCCGGAAAGTGTAAAAACGCGCAATGATGTCTTCTATCTGCTGCCGGAAAGATCATGTGTTCCTGATTCACCGGTTTGGTACTCAACGCAAGCCCTGGGCAAAGATGCACTCGCCAAAATGTTGCATCGTGTGAAAATGGTTAAAGAAATAAATATTGCATTGCTAACCAGCTAAATACATCCATCTCAATAAACCATCAATTATGTCATTAGCCGTGGCAGTGCTTATTTGGTTTTTATTCATCATTTCATCACACACATACACACACCGCGACAACAACTATCATTATTATCATCACTTGAAATTTGAGTGTACCCCCAATCGATGTACCATAGGTTTTATGCATTTTGCAAAATACTGATCAATTGATAGTCACAAGTGACACATTGGAATCGTAACCAGCGTCAGCAGGCGCGAGTGACGAAAGCATTAGAGAAACAAAGAAAACAAAAATGTCATGAAAAAACCGAGATATTTTCATCGACATCAACTAAACACAAATCGCCATTTAACGTATACAACACACAAACACACACACCTTAAAATCAGCATCATTTAATTATTATTGATAAAACAAATAAATATCCCACATGAATTTAATAAAAAAAAAAACAAAAAGCAAATCTATTTTATACTCAATCAATGTAGTAATCCAAATTGATTAATTTCGAATCAGAAAAAAAATTGAGTTTGAAATTTAGTAGAGAAGAGAAAAACTTGTCATGTGAATTCTATGTGAATTATTTTCTTTCTTTAGAACTTTCTTTTATCTCCTTTTATCAAAATTTATGGATCATGCGCTCAGCAATTGTGAAATAATAAACACCCATTAAGACTCTAATTAAGATTATAAATATGTAAAAAATAGAAACTCGAAATAAATGTAAATCATAATTTGGATTTAAAAAAATTGATCGCCGACTATGGGCTTTTATTCGATGAATTGAATGTTGCCAGGGAATATTTGGTGCTGATAACAAAATCTTTTTTTAGACATGTTTCCACTGGTCAACGTGGATTATCTCCGCTACTTACTGTTAGCAAACTGTTCAGGGGGGTCGGTAGCTGCGATTGATAACGCTGTTACAATTATTTTCATGAACTGAAGTTCACAATGTATGCCATATGCGATATGAACCAACAAAGGAGTAAACAAAAAAAGTTTTCCATTGGATTAGTTTAACGTGACGTAACGTGTTAAATGTAATCTTTTTATTCTATTATTATCATCATATTGATACATTTTTCGATAAAATTTAAACTTTGTGTGTTTATTTGATAACATGAATTAATTTTCCTTATTCTTATTCATAAACATAAATATTCAATGTCAACAATGACAATACTAATGAATACACTTAACAAAACCATATGATTTCTTCTTTTTTCGAACGAAAAATTGGCTCAGAACGAGTCTTTAACACATTTTCAACTTTTCAACACTATTTCTCCGTTAAATTAGGGATGCGTAACAGCTAGATTGTTTTGACCGCCTAATCGCAAATCACTTTTCCTTTGACAATCTTTGGACATTGCTTTGGTCGGACGCACTCGCCAGTGCACTGGTTGAACAAGTACCCTCTTTTACAGTCGCACATTTCTATTCCCCGGAATATATGGCAAGCCAAGGTATTTTCAATATGGCACTTTCGCAGCTCACATAGTCCAGTTGTGTGTACAATCATATTCTTATGCAAATGACAATTTGTTGTTTTCGGACGACCATACTGTGCATTTATTGCTGAAAATATAAATTAATAGGTCGGTTATTAACTTGCTACCGATTTGTACAAGAAAAATTTACTCACTGTTTGTGACGCTAAGGATAACCACCAAAGCCAAAAATAACTTAATTACCAACGACATGATTACTTTTCTCTTCGAAATTGATTCTGATGCCACAATTAGTAGTAACAATTTAGCAAATGACTGATTCAATAATCAACAATAGACTGAGCGCCATTCTCTCAGTTCGCAACATTTATACCACCGTATCTGATGGGAAAATCAGATGAAAAAATATTGAGTATAATCCAAGAAAACAACTTTGTTATCATGCACGTTTCATACGGGAGCAAAAAATTGACTCGTATTTATTGTCGAAATGGAAATCGCCAGATTTGCGTACGTTTGAACTACACAAACAATTCAACAGTGAGACCACCAGCCATGGCAACAAATCTTTTTTTACGTAAGTGTAATCTCTTTATTCTATTATTATGATCATATGAATACATTTTTCGATACAATTTAGATTTTGCATTTTTAATTGATAGCGTTTATAATTTGTAATAATTTAGTTATTCTTATTCTTATTCATAAACATAAATTTTCAATGTCATCACTTAAACAATACTACATGATTTCTTCTTTTTTCGAACGAATAATTCGCTCAAAACGAGTCTTTAATACATTTTTAACTTTTTAACGCATTTCATTACTTCGCAATACTAACTAAGTTAATACACTTAAAAATACGATCATTGGTTTCTTCTCTCTTTACAGCTTCTCTAATGAAGAAATTTTGTGTTTTCTCCATTGATTTAGGACTGGTCAGCTCTTCGAACGCCCACAGGCTTGAACACTGTATCTACATAATGACGTTTCTCCTTACAATCCGGGGTGTTTCCATTCATCTTTGGACAATGTCTGGGCCTAACACATTGCCCATTGCACGGATTGAACACGTAGCCTTTTTTACAGTCACACAATGTTAATCCTTTGAACATGTGACAAGAGATGTGATGATAATCAACGTGGCATTTCCTCAACTCGCATACTCCCGTTAAACGCACCATCGAGTTCTTGAGCAAGTGGCAACTGCTCGGTGATGGAAATGAATGCTGAGCATTGATTGCTGAAAGCGAAAATTTAATTTAATTCACAAATTCAGTAACGAACGATGTATTCATCTTTATTTATTGAGTTTACTTACTGTTTGTGATGCTGATTACCACCACCAAAGCCAAAAATAACTTAATTTCCAACGACATGATTACTTTTCTCTTCAAAATGAATTTCTTTGCAACAGAATAGCAATATTGGCAATAACAATTTAGCAAATGATTGATTCAACAATAGACTGAGCGGCATTCTCTCAGTTCGTAACATTTATACCACCGTATCTAGTGCGATTTCAGATGAAAAAAATATCGAATGTAACCGAGGAAAACAACTTTGTTATCATGCACGTTTCATACGAGAGCAAAAAAAAAAAACTCAAACTGATTGTCGGAATGGAAATCGCCAGATTTGCGTCCCAGTGAACAACACAAACAATTCAACAGTGAGACCACCAGCCGTGGCAAACAAATCAATTTTATTATTATCAAATGTTTTATTTTCAACTTTGACGCTTTGCGCACTGATTCACGTACAACATATGTGACGCGCTCGATTATCATGTTATTTTTCTTAATCCGCAAATAAAAATGTGGCATTTCATTATTTAGCAAAACTAGTATAAATACACTTAAGAATACAATCATTTGCTTCTTCTTTCTAATGACGAATGACGAAATTTTGTGTTTTCTCCTTTAATTCAGGACCGGCCAACCGTTCGAATACCCACAGGCTTATACTCTGTATCTGCATAATAACGTTTTTCTTGACAGTTCGCGGTGTTTCCATTCATCTTTGGGCAGTTTCTGGGCCTAACACATTGCCCATTGCACGGATTGAACACGTAGCCTTTTTTGCAGTCACACAATGTTAAACCTTTATATATATGACAAGAGATGTGGTTATAATCAACGTGACATTTTCTCAACTCGCATAATCCCGTTAAACGTACTATCGAGTTTTTGAGCAAGTGACAACTTTTCGCTGACGGAAATGAATGCTGAGCATTGATTGCTGAAAGAGAAATTTAGAGTAATTCACAAATTCAGTAAAGATCTATGTTTGTATCTTTAGTTATTATAGTAGTATACTTACTGTTTGTGATGCAGAGAATCACTACCAATGGCAAAAATAACTTAATTCCCAACGACATGACTGTCTTTACGCTGAAATCGATTCTCATTAAATGTGACCAGTTAACTGAAACCAAACTGCACGTTTGACCAACAAATGATTTAAGCTTTTATTGAATCGAAATTGAATGGACTGGTTATGCCAGAAGTGAGGATATTTTGCCAGTAAACATAACCCAAGTAAACAGAAAAAAGAATTTTAAATGCATGCAATTGGTTTAACAATTCACAAAATACTGAGCATCATTCGAATTTCTGTAGCTTTTAAATGTTTGTATCGCGTAAACAAATCCGAGAAAAAACATCTTCTTGTCATACAAATTGTGTGTTGAAAAAAAAACTATTCCTTGTTTTTTCACATCGATTGTTGAATGGAAACCCCCAAATTACGTAAAAACACAATACAGTCCTGGATTACACAACGATTGATCAACATGGGTAGTAAACAAAACTTATTTGTTATTGTTTAAAGTAAAATAATCGGTATTTTTCAAACTTTGACATTTTGTTTAACGATATGTAAGTACATGACTTACGTGTGACGCACTCATCCTGAACTTATTAGAATTGTAGTTATTTTTCAGTTTATTTTTAGTTTATTTTTTTTACTTCTTGAATTGAAATCAAACATTTTTTTACGACAACACCAATAATGTTGATACACCTGAACCTTGAATAAATAAGAACTGAAATTGATAATCAATTGTTTTTCTACATATGATAATTTTAGATATTACTGATTCAGTTCTTCGACTTCCTAGCTACAAATCACCTTCCCTCAAACCACTTTGGCATTCCTTTGCCAAACACATTTTTCAGTACATTGATTGAACAAGTAGCCAAAGGGATATTGCAACTTTTTTGACCAGAAAAAACGCCATCTTACGTCGTGCCCGTAAATTATTTTACTGTACATTTAGATGGTAGAGACAGAACAAAAGTTGGACACTATGCATAAACTTGGAAAGAGCTTGATAAACTTGATGAAATACATATATTTAATGATCGCTGCAATACCCCTATGCAAGTAGCCTTTTACAATCATATCTCTCAAGTATATGACAAGTGAAGAAGTCACCAAGATGACACGTTCTTTTCATCATTTTACATCATCTAATTTAAGAATTGGCAAAATACTGCCCATTATCGTAATGCGTCCATTTATTTAGCTGCACAGATAAGAATTGCATTTTACATGCCAAATTAACATGCACGCTGAATAGACCGTTGAACCGACAAATTTTATTTTTATAATCAAAATATGAGCGGATTTCTCGTTTAAAAAGCCATATTTGAAGAATTTTCTACGGGCGGTGGAAGAGATATAACAACGAATTCGTGTGTTGAGCATAAAAGATTTATTTCTTAAAGTTTTCCTGGGGAAAATGACAACTTTTTAGGCATATAAAATTGAATGGAAATGACAAGATCGCAATACTTGAATGAATCAAAGACAACCTGATCAATTATCTTTATTGCGAGTGAATATGTTCAAAAACAAAATATGAGTTCGTGTTTGTTCATTCACAATTTATTTTTCTTTTATAAAGATTTACGTCTAAATTACAAAACTTACGTTGCTAAAACTTCGTTTTATGAAAGATTTACGTCACACGCAAATGTGCATTCAGATAAGCAAAATATGTCATAAGTGATTGCATTTCGCTCATCGTTAAATTAATCACATTAATTCCATCATAGAAGCTTTATTTATGAATGAAAATAATTGTTATCAAACCACTGAATGTGGGATTGAATTGAATAGACCTTTTGAGCAAAGCCATTAAAGTCAATCAATGGCGGAACTATTAATAAAAAGTGGAAGTGATGTGAACACCGCCGAAACAACCGTTGGATGGAATCCGCTTCGAATAGCCGCAAGAGATGGCGATGTGAAAATGATCAAATTACTCCTTGATAATGGTGCAGATGTCTATTCCAAAAACGATTATGGATTTAGCGCACTAGAACTTGCTGAAATAAATAAACATTCAAGTGCTGTACACATTCTTGAAGAGGCGGAAAGAAAGTCAGAAGGCGGAAAAAAGGTAAAATGAATTTTTGAAAAATCTCACATGTACTTAAAATGAAATTCTGGTATTTGAAAATATAATAACCAATATTTTGTTTTATTTGCAGAATTGCCGAAAAATAAGTGTAATTTCTAACAGTGTTGTGACCAGAAGCAACATCCATTTTCAAATAACTAGGTTTTAGTGAGTTGTTATGTCTGTAAAGTGAGTTAATTTATGATTACAGACAGAAGATGAATTAAAAGATTCATGAAATAAAAAATAGGTTCGAAAATACTTATTTAGAAGAAATTTTATCGACATTTTCTCCCAACCTTTTAGTTTTTTTTAACTTTTACAACACAAAACCAAATCCGATTCCGGGCCGCGTAGCGCTTGAAAGGAAGCTTAACGAAGCGCAGCCAAGCAATCTTGCTAGTTTATAAATAAAAACAATTGTTCGCAATGGACTTTTTGAGTGTTATCATGAAAGTGAATCAAAACCATTTTTTATCGAGTTCGATAGAAAAAATCATATTTTCACAGAAAAAATTCTATTTCGATTTGATGTCAAAATAATATTTGGAAAATGACATTTATTTCATCATTTTCTTTGAAAATATAAATATTCATAAGGAAAATGGAATTTATCAAACAAAGTCAAACTTACGTTCTGAATAAAATATGAGAGTCTTTATCACTAGACGAATTCTCTTGTCTGTAACAACACCCATATTCAAATAACTAGGTTTCATTCAAATTCTATTGATATTTCGTGTCATTCGATACAAGCAAAGTTTATTAAATATTCAAGTGGATCAAACACTTTGGTGAGTGGAGCCGCAATATTTTTCAAAGCTCAGTGATTGATTGCGTAAATTATAGGTATTGTTAAAAGATATAAAGTATTCCATCGACTTAATAACTAGGTTGGTTTTGTCTATTCTGTTAAACCATATAATCAACAAGGTCTGCGCCCCAATTTACTTTAATAACTAAATAAATTCAAATCAAATAAAAGCTCACTCATCACCAAACATTCCGTTAGTTTTCTATCAGACTGTAAAAAATTAACATTTCGAAGGATTTGAACAAATATTCAAGTACATCTTCGGCATTGAAGTTCAGGTTCTGAAATGTCAGTCATAGCGTTAAATAAAAAGATTCTAAAGATCTTCGGAATGTGTTTGAATGACGAATGCGCTTCACCAAAAGAGCGAATCGTTAGCAAATGCGTCAATTGGGCAATGTTGTGGATTTCCATTTGTACAGTTGGCGTTAGCTTTGAGTACGTGGTCTCGCATTTTTCCGACACCGAAAGTATTCTGTTTGCTGTGATGCAAATGGCTGCAAACACTGCTTCAGGTGGTGGATACTGGACGTTTTACAACAAAAAGTACCAAGTATCCAAGTTTCTCAACCATATTGAAAATTTGGTCAAATTACGTATGTACCACGACATTTCTCTACTATTGATCATTCAAACAAGCCAGAATCAATTGATTTATTTTCCTTTGTCATTGATAAAAATGAAAATCCGCAGGTATTCGAGCAAATCCTGATTCGGAAAAACTCTACGAAAAAGCTGAAGAGAATTCAACGTTTGTTGCAAAGTGGCCGCTTATTGTTTTCATAATGAACTATGATTTTGTATTGGTTTTCGCCACAACTTACACGGTAATTTTTGAAATGATTCCCGCCAGAAGTGATCCAGCCACTTGGTATGGCATGTACAAAATGAGGTAAGAAATTGAAGAAAAAAGTTAAACAAATATTTTTATTTCTTGTAAACGAAGTTTTGCTAAGAGGAAATTAATTTGAAATTTCAATTCTAGCTTTCCATTCGATGTGCATTCTTTACATGGATATTTCGCATATTTAATCATGGTAATCGTTGCATTGCACACCTATGCCATTCTGATTACAAGTCAAGCCGCATTTTTCCTTGGTGCGTCATTTTACCTGGATGCCTTCACCGAAGATTTTAACCAACTGATGCACAAATTAAACCGAATCGTTGAAAAAACACACCAATTCAAATATGCCGTTCAGACTCGCCTATTCCAAGCCGTTATATTCAACATTCAAATTATTGAGTTTGTACAAAAATCGATTATAAATAGAACTTGAATGACGCAGAATATTTCCAGGCTTTTCGATCAATTAAGTGATATCATCACTGGGGTATTATTCTTTCAACTGTGGTGTGGTGCCGTATTTTGCTCCACATCCATTTATCAATTAGATTTGGCCTCGAAACATATCAATCCGGATTTTTTCATTCTAATTTTTGCATCGACCGTCAGCATTGCGACGACATTGCCTTACTGCTACTATTCGGCTCATGTTTCATTGCGACTGCAAGCAATCGGCAACAGCGCTTACACCAGTTTCACCTGGTATGAATTTCCACCCAGCGTCCAAAAAAATATACTTTTAATTATAGAGAACTCGGAACGGCCGAAATTTTTCTCGGGATATGGAATTATCAACTGCTCGTTGGAAACATTTAAAAAGGTTGCACTGAATTTATAACCTCAAAAAACGTATTGCATTTTTGTGTTTTTTTTTTCTTCAGATTTTGAACACAACCGGTTCCTATTACATTATGTTTAAGACCGTCATGACTCGCTAGATGGATGATTGAAACGTTGTTTATTTGTGCATTTTACAGAATTTAAAAATACTCCTGTATTTTCTCAATCTAAACCACCAATTAAGAACCCTATAATTAATAAAGCCAAATTCTTCTAACAAATTTTCAAACCGAAACAATTCTTTTCCATGAAATTTGAAATTCCCCTACAATTAAATTGCATATGTTTACATTGAATAATTATTTAATTGCATTGCGATGAAAATACCTTCAAAAGTTGATTATAAAAGCATTTATGTCCTGCAGCAATTGAGTTAGTTGCAATAAAGGTGCCATTGGAATATAATCAAAAACTGCAGATTTCTCGTTCAAAAAGGCATATTTAAAGAATTTTCTACGTGCGGTCGAAGAGATAAAAAATTGGTATGTTGAACATAAAAGACATAAGAATATTGTTTGAATTTGGAAAAAGACTTCAATCATACAAACTGCATTGAATGATAAATTCCCCTAGGTTTGGTGACATTTTTGTCACTTTCAATATAAAAAGTGAAAAAAATAACTTTTCATGAAATTTTTTATCTGAAACTTTAAGAATGCTCTTCCGACCATTAAATCTATTATACAAAACAAAAAATTTCTTTAAAAAATTCAATTTTTTCATATAAAATTAAATTCCGCACCGTTATACTTCTTTGACTGTGTTTGGTGACAAAAATGTCACATGTGTTTTCTAATCAATATAATTATATAGTTGAAAGAGATAAAATGTATTTTCGGGTTTTTTCTGACACATGCAAATACATCCCGATGACGAGTAGAAAAATCACCAAATCAGAATTCAATTGACTGTCAAACGCAGCCACTACACATCGAACTTTCGGATGGTTCAAAGAATAGATTGCAATGTTATTTGATATAAATAAATGCATGAATAATGAAGATAATATTGTATTCAATCGAATATCATATAAATTCAAAGAAAAATATTGAAAAAATGTTATTTTTCTTTTATATACGTAGGTGACGAAAATGTCACTAAACACAGTCCATGTTCTATTTACCCAAACACAGTCAGAAGGTTAAATTGCATATGTTGACATTGAGTAATTCAATTGCATTGCGCTGAAAATCCCTCCAAAAATTCATTATAAAAGCGTTTATATCTTGTAGCATTGGAGTCAGTCGCAAAAATGGTGCCACTGGAATATAATCAAAAACTGTTGGAGCTATTTGGCTTCTGTCCAAACGCTGACGGTGGTTCGCTTATTTTAACATTTGTAAAACGTATTACGATGCTTTGGATAACTGTTGGAATGGATCTTATACCAACTTGTCATTTCCTCTACGCGCATTTTGATAACCCAGAACTTCTAATAGCCGCCATATCTCCGATTACTGGATTCATTGTCGTTATAATTTCGTATCTCACATTCGTCGTGGAAGGGAAACGCGCCATTCACACATTTACCTACCTCAGAGCATTGGTGAATGAACGTAGGTTGCCTTTTCCATCCAATATTTAAATGTATCAGTGTGAATGTATTTTTTTGTAGGGAGGAAATCTGTCATGCATACCTTGTATGCGGATGCTGAAGTGAAATCAATTTTCATTACGAAATGGCCACCGCGAATAACTTGTAACAATTTCGTAGTTCTATCCATTGTTTTTAGTGCACAGCAAATTATTGTGGACTGGATGAACGATGATATTGACCCAACACGCTGGACCATTACTTATAAGATCAGGTAATTGATTGAAACATTTGGCTTTCATTCATCTAAATATATCGAAAAAAATATTTCAAATGTCAGCACTCTATACAATCAACACACGGCCTTGGGATTCTTTCTCGTGAATTTGCAGAAGTGTATAACGGTTTCAGCTTATTTTATCATTCTAACGCTGGTGCCGGCGTACTTCATGAGCATTTGCTTTTATATCGAAGCGATTTGTGATGATTTCGAAATGGTTATCCTTGAACTAGACAACACGGAAAGTGTTGGACACGATGCAATGAGGTCAACATTCATCACAGTCATTAATCTTCAAATTTATGCAGCGAAGTAAGCCCTTCTTGAATTTTCTCTTTTTTAAGTTTTTTTCTTTGTTTTCGAAATGGAAAATTCAATTTTTGTTTCAAGCCTATTCAAGCAAATGGCCAAAGTCGTTACGGGAACCGTATTTGTTCAAGTCGTTGGTGATACCATTTTCACATCGACCACATTGTTCCAGCTTCAAATGGTAACGCTTTAAAAACCTTTCGGAACGGTAGTTTTACAAATGTATATCTTTTAGACTTTTGAGACATTTGACACTGAAGTGGTTATGACGATTTTCGCCTCGTTTGTTGCCATTTTATCCATTCTGCCGTATTGTTATTACGCTACACGAATTGTATTAAAAATACAACATACGGCTGATGTCGCATTTGAGACGAACTGGTATGAACTTCCGGTCGGTCTACAGAAGAACATGAAACATATCATTGCATTTGCTCAGATGAAACGGTCAGTCAACGGGTTTGGTTTGCTTAACAGTGATCTTGAAGGCTTCATGAAAGTGAGGAAACAGAATATTCTAGGGGAATATCACGCTTGAATTATTTCAAATATTTCAAGAAAATCCAATTTATCTCTAAGAATCTGTCGTATGAAATAGGTGGATATTTGTGAATACGGCGGAATATTGTGGATTTTTGTGATTATGAATGATATTTAAATGTATTTAATGCAAAAAATCTCAAATATCTCCAAAATCCACAAAAATCTGATTCATTTATTCGAAAATATGTCATACAATTGATGTTTATTTCAAATATCTCAAATATCTCACAATAGCGTGATATTCCCTTAGAGAATATCCTTCAAAATTTCAACTTAATCCAAATAAATTGGTACGTTTCGTTTCTTTCAGATTATGAAGACAGCGTTGTCATACTTTGTGACGTTTAGAAGTTTTTCAGAGTAATTCCCAGGTCAATAATTTCTATGGTATTTTGTAGCCATTATAGAATTTGCACTAATTTATTCATCACTGGATTGGTGAATCAGATTTTTTTTGCACATTACGAAACATGATGAAGAAAAATTCTTTTCGTCCTTTTTTTAAACACAAGAAAAATCGCAAATCTATTCTTAGCATACGGAATTACGGATTAACCTTAGAAGAAAATAAGAGTGGTCTCGCGACTCAACAGTGATTCTGAATCTATATTAAATAACATTTAATGTTCAAGTGCATTTCAGGCCAATGAAAAACGAAACAACATTCAGCAACAACTAACGGCTGCAATGTTCAATCAGTGTATGGCAAATGACGCGAACAGTAAATAAAGATACCGATTGAAATGAATATGCACATTTTTTTCTACAATTTTATGGAACCATTCTTCATTCGAAAAAAATTTCGATTTGTGGAAAATACGTTTTTTGACCAAGATTTGAGTTGGTTCATTTTATAGCAGTTTTTCGACAGCCGATTGCTCAAAAAAATTGTTCCTACATAAAAAAAAAGTAAACACTACATTAAAAATCTACAATTGAAATCGCCCTACCCGAAGTCATTTCGGCAAATCTTCCATGATTTGAATATTCATCTATTTTTTGAAGAAGAAGATGAGTTTCAACAACACATGTCCTTGTTTTGTTCTTACATGTAGGAGATGAAAAACGTCGCCTGGATTTGCAGTCAAAAAATACGAAAAGACCACGTTAAAAAAATCGTGTTTAAAAAAATCAAAAGGTAGTTTTATCACGCGTAAGCCGTGCAATAATCACGAACCAAGCTGAAAACGTTCAATATCTTTCAAAACGCAAAACATTCCAACACATATCATTCTGACGTGTGTTACGCTCGGCTGTATCTGTTGGAGAATTGTATCAAAACAGAGTATGCAACTCAGTGTGCATTGATACGACTGGCCCTGCGGCACTCAAACAACCAAGTACTGTGTACGCTTTGCATTGCGTTGGTTTCGTTAAGCCGCGTTCATATGCTTGTATCTACGTTTTCAGATTTCGCGCTCTTTCATTCCGTCTTTCGGATCTTTTGCATTTTTACTTTGGTAAAGTGTGCATCGTCCAATAAATTATCGAAAAAAAAAATTATCTGCATCTTTTAAAAAATCATCAACAGAATATTAGTGATTCAACGGTATATTCAAAGGTAAAAACAATCCATCTGATTCATTTTGGGTGGAGAAGAGTACATATTGCCTGTAAAAAAAAAATTACAGTAAAAACTCGATTTATGGAATTTGGTGTGTGTGGCGCTGATTGACATTGCAACGCGAGTAGTCGCAAGTGTTAAATGAACGGAAAAAAATTGGCATCGCAAACATTAATTTTCGGCTTTATTGAAATTCATCATTTTTGTACATTTTTCGAAACATTTTCATTCTAATAATAACGCCTGAAATTAATATTTGATGAAATTAAATTCACGAAATACTTTTGTTCCATCTACGACCGACGAGCATTCTATCTGGAGTTGCGTGTGTTGAAGTTGATGAATCATCTGCGAAAAGTGCGAAGAGGCAAACAACAAGACGAATTTCACGGCACGTTTCAAAAAAAGTGTATTTGAGCGCGTCGTGCGTCCGATGTGAACCGTGCCTCAAATCGGCTTGACTGGAAACCGTTCAAAATGGTTATACAAATTTGATCGCTTTGCAGTATACATTTGCACTCACTCTCACGACAGTCACCACAGCTGGTGAGAGCGCATCGAAACACGTCTCAAATCGAATGTTTTTATTTGTACACACTTTTGTGTGAAGAGTGAAAAAAAAAGTTCGTTCATACCCAATAATTAGTAAGGCAAAAAGTCAAATAGGCAAAAGTAATTTGCTCTCGCACGTAGTCATAATTTGAGTGAAGTGACAAATGTCGGAATAGTGTTAATTTAATTCGTCGATATTTTTTTTTTGAAATATCGCCGTAACCCCATCGTTCAACATCCAATTCCATCGAGAAGTTTCTAAAAATAAAGCCATCTCCATAGACAGTGCTCTGAAACAAGTGAAAACTGCAGAAGAAAAAACAATATTTTTCACATTTAATTTGAAAAAATCAAATTGGAGTGGGAGATTATGTCAAAATGAAGATGGTGCAGTTTTAGTTGGTTGAGTGTTTGTAACACTTGCCACATATTGTGAAATACCATCTTCAAACCGAGAAAAAATCCATAAAATCGCAAAATTATTCGCAAAAATCGCTAAATTTGTTGTAAATTCACCCCAAAACCATACAAACACAACCGAATACGAAACGAGAATGATCAATTGTGCACTGTACAGTGTACACTCAATGTATTATCGTTCAATAGATCAACATTTCATTCCAGTTGGATCTAAGCTTCAAGGCCACACTGCTGCTGTCAGTCGAATGGCTTGCTGTTCCGCCAACACTTGATACAGCAAACACACCGTAAACACATCGTGAAAGTAGTCGCAGTGACAAAATTGCCGATCGTCTATTTCAAATAAACACAAACTCAACGGCAGCGGCAACAACAACAACAACAATAACAACAACACCGACGACGACAACGACAACAACGACGGCTGTAGTTTAACACAACAAACTACAAACATCGATTCAACCATAACACGACATTGTTTTGACGAACTGGCGGACACATAAACATGCGATTTCTTTTTGAATATTTTATGCTAATCCTACTGGTGATTCTGTTGGCTATTTCCTATGTACCATTTGCATCGGCTACATATGAATTGCCCGAACCACAGCAACGTTTACCCTTTTGTGACGATGATCGAGCACAACAGACCAACCGCAATGCTGGGTAAAATTCATTCTCAAAATGTTTATCTTCGAAATTGTGAATGAAATGAAATTTTTTTTTATGATTTCAATTGTCTGCCATATCTCTCGTCGTCTCAATATAGGTTATTGTACGTTTCAACGTTAGACGGCAAAATATCGGCGTTGGATATTTTGGATGATGGCCAAAAGAAGTGGACAATCAGCACAACGCCGGGTCCAATGATTTCGTCCAGCATACAAAATTTGGAATTGACCAACAATGGACAATGGGTGAGAATGATACCATCGCTCAGCGGCGCTATTTACAAGTTTGATGGTGAAACGGTCGAACCAATTCCAGTCACAGCTGACAATTTACTTAGTTCATCGTATAAATATAGCGATGATTTGGTGATATCAGGTAATGTCAATTGACACTTTTATTTCACGCAATTTTCATTGCAAATAAAAGATAAACAAAAAATTAACGATCTCGATTCATCAAAACGAACAGGTGGTAAAGAAACGATTTCGTACGGTGTGTCAGCACAGAGCGGGCAAATAATTTACGAGTGTTCGATGCGAGGATGTGTGAATAGTACTGAAATTGATGCGGATGCGACTGACAGCGGAAGTGAATTGCCACCAAATGATACAGCATCATCGCCACCGCAGACCGATGATGAAGTGATAGTTGTGCGTCGCAAAACGCAAATAGTACGAGCTATTGAGCCAAGAACGGGCGAAGAGCGATGGAATTTTAGCGTGGGACAACACGAACTGGAATCGATTCGATCATCCGGTGATTGCCATTTATCGAATCAAAACAGTGCTCATGATATTTTAACCAATTTGGACGTAAGAGTGGTTGTACCCGACGGTATCATTTGTGCGGTGCAGAAAAATGCACCGCATGAAATCGTATGGAAATACAAATTCGATCATCCTATTGTGAATGTGTGGAAACGTGATGAAAATAATGAATTGAAAGCGGTTGATCTATTCAAAGCGGTGCAAGGAATGTGGCGATTCGAAGGGAAATCCTGGACACAATCAACTGACCCGTCTATATTCAATAACAATGGTGACGAAATGGCTAAGATAACACCGTCCATCTATATCGGAATGTTTAGGCGTCAGTTGTACATTCAGGAGAGTGATCAATTGCGTGCGGCACAGGTGAATGTCGTTAATCACATGGTTGGCGATGATGCGACCGAAACAACGAGCTTCAAACGAATCCCTTGGCGACCAATCGATGCTCGTAGTAGTTCGGGATTGGTACAAATTGAGCATGAAAGTGCCGAAGACACTTCACTGGTCACCACAACCTCGAGCGAGGAAATGAGACAAAGGAAAAAGAACTATTCAGCAACGGCCATTTCTGTGCTGTACGGCTCCGAATATGTCAATGGGAACGGGTTTTATTTGTATGCCAAAGCAACCGAATCAAAATGTGACAAAGAAAAGGTGTCAAATGACAGTTCAGAAGATGTGAATTTCGGAATTGATGAAACGAATTCATCCGAAGATGGCGAAACATTCCGTACACCTACTTTGATTAGATTCATCTCATTGTGGTACTGGTGGCGTGAAATTATCTTAATTGTATTATCGGTGCTTGTTTTCAACGTTGTTTTAACGCAACGCAAACCAAGCCAACCAGTAAGTTGATTCTTTTCAATGGATGTTCTCTCTCGATTTTTTTTTGTCTAAAAAAACGTTTTCATTCAAATCTTTCGCAGGAAGTTGTGGTAGTCGAACGACATGTGGAAATAAAGGTTCCGGCCACACCTGAACCAGTCGACAACAATTTCCTATTGCCGGCCATCGAATACCATGAAAAACGAAGTCTGTCTGAATCGAACTCCAGCGAAACGGAACCCGAATTTAAATCGCGTTTTCAAACCGATTTTGATTTGTTGCAGTGCTTGGGAAAAGGTGGTTTTGGTGTCGTTTTCGAGGTGAAAAATAAAATCGATGATTGCAACTATGCGATCAAGCGAATAGTTCTGCCAAAGAACAAGCAATCCCGTGAGCGTGTCATGAGAGAAGTTAAAACATTGGCAAATTGTGAACATCATAATATTGTTCGGTATTTCCAAGCGTGGGTTGAGTCTCCGCCACCGGGTTGGCAGGAGAAAGAGGATCAAGGATGGATGGATCGCTATGCGATGTCACATTCAATTGATATTGATTCACCGTCAGCCGAGGAACCGTCGAAACCGTTCGGATGGAATGCACCGCCAAGCAATGTTCGCAGCCATCTGTACAATAAAAATAAGTTGGATTTCGTGATCTCAGGTCTACAAACCAATGAATGTGTTAATTTCGATGATGAAATTCGCAAGACAAACTTTAGCTCACTTGGCAAACCGGACAATGATGATGATGACGACGATGATTCGTTCATTGTCTTTGCAGCCGAGGATAATGAGCAGGAAGAGCCCAGCAAAGCCACAGAAGCGACTGAAACGAGCAGCGGTTCAGACGTGAGCAGTGATGCAAAAGACGAAAATAGTAGTGGATTAAATTCAGTATTTGAACCGTCCGGCCGGTCCAGTACTTCGGGCAAAGTGCCACGCCACCGAAAATTGAAAACACGCAAAGATTTGTACAAAAATCTTGGCATGAAGAAACGAAGCTACTCGATGACGGACAGTGCATGCGCTTCCATGAAAATGGACTGTGAGATTGATATGAGTTTTGCAAATGATGCGTGCTGCGTGATTTCCGAGAAAGGCGACGATGGCGATAAAGAAAAAGTTCCGTTTAAGCGAACACACCGAAGGCCGTTATCATTAGATTTAACCAGCACCGGATCAGTTCAAATTCCAATGGCATCGATTGCAACGCCATTGGTATCGTCCATGTCATATCTGTACATTCAAATGCAATTGTGCCGAAAGCAAAGTCTCAAAGATTGGCTCTTCGAAAATGGTTCTTATGTGCGGGAAAACGAAAGCCATGCCATTTTCAAGCAAATCGTTGAAGCCGTGGAATATGTTCATCTCAAGGGACTCATTCATCGTGATTTAAAGGTGAGTTATCGGTTTTGTTTTGCATTTATTCGAGACTTTGACATAAGTTTGTTTTCGTTTTCAGCCCAGCAACATATTCTTTTCATTGGATGGCCGCATCAAAATTGGCGATTTTGGCCTTGTAACCGACATGTCGGAGAATTTGAAATCGATAACTCCATGCGGTGACGAAAGCGGTTTGCCATCGTGTGCCAAGCACACGCAACAAGTGGGCACTCACCTTTATATGTCACCCGAACAGCTGCACGGTCGCCAATACAGCTACAAAGTTGATATCTATTCGCTGGGCTTGATTCTCTTTGAATTGCTCATGGTATTCAGCACCGAAATGGAACGAATCGAAACCATTAAAATGTTGCGTTCGAATCGTTTTCCAGATGGTTTTCAGGATAAATTTCAGCATGAAGTAAGTATTAAGCATTGGGCATTTGAAAAGAATGAAAAAATCAAATTCAATCACATGAAATGCAATTGTCAGAAATTCTCCTATTTTTCTACGAGTGTTTTTATTTCCGCTTTTTTTCTCGTCTTCATTTCCTCTCAGTATGAACTTTTGAAGCTGATGCTGTCGAAAATACCGCAAGAACGTCCAACCACATACGGCATTCGAGCACGGCCACCATTTTTAGAGCCAACGGATGAAATGTACCATTTCGAGTTGCCGCCTCGTCGTCGTGATAGCCAGAGCTTCGGCAGCTCGCTCAGCAGCAGTGCTTCTCTTAACAACTCGAGCTCTTCAAACATGAAATCATCGAATAAGTGAAACGAGGAAAAAAGACAATTTTCATTTCAACTTCATGAAGTTCATTACAAATTATCCCTAGTTAAGTGTCATTATTTTTTGTCTCCGTAGTTGAAACAAACAAACGAAAAAAATGATTGTCAATTCCAAATGTATTAAATCACATTACATTTCAAAGATTCCGCAGCTGCCAATTTTTTTTGAATTGCATTGTGGTTGATGTCCATTTGGAAATTTGTTAATTTTTTTTTTTTGAAGATTCGAGTCTTGAATTTGTTTGAAAAAAATAATGTGATGAATTTAATTATGATTCCCAGTAGATAGATTTACTGAACATAAAATATTTTTAAAAAAGAAAATAAGGAAAAACTAAATCGATGATAAGAATAAAATGACAAATTGTTGGCTAAGTTAGTGTTTTTTTGTTCAATTTAGAGTCTGGTTATTTTTTATTATATACTTGATGCGTGTTGACCACAACGTGGAATCGCAACTCCACATAATGAAATTAATGAAGAAATGATTTACAATAAACGAATTCACACATTTTTAGACAAACCAAATTTATTCGTTGTCCTGTTGAGCCAATTCTGCCTTTTTTCAGAGATTTTAAGATTTTTATATATACAGATGAGATGAAGAGTGGTGTAGGTTTCAGTTATTTGATAACAGATTACGGATTACCTTAAGGCGATATCAATGCATGGAAAAAGTGTAATGAGTACGTTGAGTAACACGACTCGTATTAGACCACCTCATGCTGCCGTATACATCTAGCCAATTGAAGCAAATGAAAAGAAAGACGAAATTCCTAAAACAAATCCGAAACAATGCATCGAAGCGACACTATCTTGCTTTCGTTTGAAATAAAAATGCCAGTCTGGGTTGGTTTTTTGTGAATTAGAAACGCAAAAAAGTTTTATTTCAGTTTTTTTTATGTGTGTGACAATTACTGGAATACTAATAAGTTCGATTTTGTTTGTTTGTTTTTTTTTCGTGGTGAAATATTACAGATATACAAATTAGTACAATATTTTTGGTTCTGATGATAATACGGCTATAGTTTTTTTTTTAAATATATTTTGTTCCGTTTTTTTTGTCAAGATGTTTTTTGTGTAGATTGGAGAGAGAAAAAAACACATGATAAATTAAAAGCCGTTTCAAAAACGTGTTTCTGGTGAATCAATTTAAGCTTCTATTCCTTTGTCCATTACATATCCATTCAATAAAATGTTCCGATTTTCCACCTGTTTTGTTTATTATACAATTTTCTATATAAAAGCGATCTTGAATTCGTCCGATTCATTTTTGACACGTGCGTTTCATTCTTTACATTCCTTACATTATTCAAGTCCTAGAAATAATTATTATTTTTAATGTCATTCGAAATTGCTTTTATATTAAATGCTCTGGAAATGGTCACATGGATCCCGTTCAAAACTATTCTCGATTCATACAAAAACCAATTCTCGTATATTTTTTTTCTTCATGATAATAATGTGTTTTTTGAAATGAGACAAAAATGTCTGTTTTTGTTGACGAGCGGGTTCAGGTGTTTAGAAAGGGGTACAAATGTGATCACTAAAATGCTTATATTTTATACGATGCGAGAAGACACATTTATTTACAATGGTGAATCGAACTGGATCGATTCGTCTAACAATATTCGGAAATGAAATTGATTGGTTGAGCCGGGGAGTATTTTTTTTGTAGTTTCCCTCAAAAGACATGATACACAAAATACCATTTTTTACGGTTTTTTTTTTTCTTTTCTTTTGCATTTTCCCTCGAACACCATATACAAATTGAGTGAACAAGGAAAACATTTATAGACAGTTTCAATGTATTATTTTTGTGTTTCACTTGGTTTCGTTCATATAAGAGTAAATACCATGTTTTATTGCCACTTATTTTCTTTTAATGATTTTTTTTTTTGTTATTTGTTGTCATCTTCATTCGAATCAGCAAAGGTCTATTTCGTATTCAAATTGACCGAAAAGAAAACCTTTTCTTGATTTCGTTGAAAATTCCCTCGATTCAATAAATGCAGCGCATTATTTGTCTTATGTTATTTAGGTTTGAATTTAGTCGAATATGAATTTAAATGTCTTTTTTATTTTTTCCTTTTTTTATTTGTTTCCTGAACAGCATAAGAACATTGTTCAATAATTTTTTTTTTGTTACATTCATCCAACGTATGAGGGTGTTTTCTATAAATTTTATGGAAATGAAGGTTCGAGTGAACACTTCGTGTGAAAAATATTTACAACGAGAGGTGACGCGATGTGACATTGAAACATTTGAACCAAAAAAACGCAATGAATTTAGTTGGCAAATGTTTGTTCCCACAATAATAACGAGAAAACACACATCGCTGATAGAAACAGGCACGTGACGCTCTCGGTATGACGATGCATCGATTGGCAAAAACAATTTCATTCCATAAACTGGGGCAAAACATCAAAGTTGAACCATTCTCGGCACAGATTCGACGTGTGCTAATATTGGACATGTGGAATGCATATGAAAGCAGTTGCATCACAGCATGATTATTGGCTTTTGCGACCAATTCACTTATGCACATATTGTACAATGTACCGATTTTCACTGGTATTCGTCGCGGTATCGGAATATACGTTATTTGAGTCTAAAAGTGTTTAATTTGAAATTCTGCCAATTCTACAGAAAAAAAGCAAAGAACAGTTTGTTTTGTCGGGTTTTAACCCATGGTTTTGTCTATTGATGAATGTACACCGCTATTATGTTCCACCATCGATAAACTAATACTGTTAGAAAAAAGCCACCAATTGTTGTCATTGGTATGATGCGCACAGCCATTGTATTATTGAGTAGTAATGACTTTCGGTCACACACACAACATATTGTGTGCTCTCATTTTGGTTCTGATAATAGAATGCAAATGGTATGATTAAAAATCAATTTTGCGGAAAAGTAATTAAAACTACCAACACCATCATCATGTATACACAGCGGACCAATTTGTTCACTTTCATACAGCCAATTACAATTTACATTTCAACCAATCTTCATTTCAGATATTGTAGGCATATTACCGTAGAACGGCATGGGAACGGCTACGGTGGGGGCACATGATAATATATTGATTTTTCAAATACATTTTATGGCGATATTCATCTATTGCTTTCAATTGGAATCGAAATTGGGAGCGTATTGGGGCAATATTTTGTCATTTCTATGCTTTCATTTTGTGTTGATTTTGAATTTTGCTTTCGTAATAGGTTTGTTAATTTACTTGATAGACACGATGGGCTTGTCATTAGCCAACGAAAATAAACTTTGCTAATAAAGCCTAAATTTTAATATGCCGCAACCAAAACAAAGTCATCTTCACTTGAAAATGTAAATAATTATTTTGTATAATAAGAAGCAGTGGGTAGAAAAACTGCGGCACGGGACAACGCCAGTTATGGCAACCGATGTGTACTTTTTTGAATTAATTTTTCCGCTTATTTTTCTACTTTAATTTTGCTCCACATCATACTTTTACTTCCGTCGGACGTTGCCTAGTCGAAACACAACTGTTAACAAAGTTCAAATACATTTCTGCGGATGTTGTTTTTTTTCAGTGACCACTGGATTTGATAAGCATCGGTCGGCTGCTTATCCTCTTGAATTTCATGAGGATCCCAAGCGAAAGAGTACGATGAGGTTCTATCACGACGATAAATTTCATCGTAGAGTAGCGGCGAGCGCGTGTATGCAACACATCTCCGTTCTCACTGCTGCTATGCTAAACATAGTACGCGGCCCACGCACACCGACACATGCGGCACAACTGGTCATGTATCGGTGTGCGTGAACAGCATACTATGTTTAACATAGCAGCAGTGAGAACGGAGATGTGTTGCATACACGCGCTCGCCGCTAGTCTACGATGAAATTTATCATCACGATAGAACCTCATCGTACTCTTTCGCTTGGGGAGCTGGGAAATTAATTTCCAGTTTTTTTTTCTTTCGTTAAGTTCATCCACATTCCCTGAGCTGAAAAAGCACGTTTGAAAGGTGAAATAAAATCTCGGTTTCATCGCATTATGCGGAATTAAAGTCTACTCTTGATATCTATGTGCCGATTTTTTCGCTCTTCGAATGTTTGTCGTCGAGTGAAACGGTTTTCAATGAGATTAAGTGTTTGAATTGGATGGAATAAAGCATTTTAGACTAATCCCAGATTTTGTCTTAAAAAAAATCATTTTTTTTTCGTTTTCTTTTCTTCGAGTGATCTTGTTAAGACACTTATTCAAACTATAATTGAATTGAAAACTTTTCCAATGGAGACATTTCTATATTCGTTGACCATAAAATTGCTTAAACAATGAACACAGTCATTTACTCAGAAGGAGCTATGTTTATCTGATACAGTTATCAGAGGTTCTTATCATCACTGTTCTTTATATTCCTAATCTCATTGAATCCAATCGGAATTCGGATAATATTGGATGTAACAAAATTTAAAAGGAGGAAGTGTCTCATTGATTTTTGCAATTTTTGTATTACAATTTCCGGTATTTGACCCAGAAAAAAAATGTCAAATTCTTGGAAATGTGCTGTGGTTCTGCCGATGACCCCATTCTATGGTACAAACGAAGGCGGAACGAAATCGAGGGCTTTTCACAAGTCGAATGTATATTACATTGATGCAGAGCCAAATTTTTCTTCAAAGAATTCGATTCTGTCTGCAGCATAGTCTGCAGAAAGTACAAATGGGATTTTTTTGCGTCAATGATGCCACGCCGATATAAACTTCAATGAACTGAAGTAATTTACATATTCATCATTTATTTCTGGATATTCAGAACTGACGAAATTCTATTTTTGGATATTTTCGATTCAGAATGACGTCAAAGTGTCTGTCATACTGTTTTTGCGAAAATGTTTTGTGGTCAAACATCAACAGAACATGAAAATGCACAGCATCGCATCATTGTTGATGACACACAAATTTGGTTGGATAATCATACATGGGTTGTGGATGTTGTTTCGCCATATTTTGAAGAGTGCTGTTGTTTTACGTCATAGTTCAACGTTCGTCATCAAATCGATGCTAACTACCAGGAACAGTACTTTTCGGGCGTCAACACACAAAGTTAGCGATTGTTTTTACGTTTTAATCATAACAATGTTTTACGTGAAAACTATTGTGCCAATCGTCGTCACCTCAATATTATACAGTTAAAAAGTTTTCAAGCGAGTTTTACTCGCTGTTGTGAAATATGATGAATTTTAACATAAACAACAATAACAAAAGTTGAAACAGGCTTACAAGCTATGGGTCTTCTCTTTTACATTCCCGTTACATCGTTATATTGTACAGATCAGAGAGAACCATATAAAACTTTTTTGTTTCATTTTTATTTTGGAATAAAACAATTGCCATAAATTTAGAATTTGATGTCAATTTTGATTGCGACATTTCGCTGAATTTTGGTAAAAATATAAAGAGAGAAAAAACAATTTCAAAGAGACTAAAATTTAACATTTCGATAAAATTATTTTGAAATGAAAACGATTTGATTGTATTTCCGATTCCGAGGGAAGGGGAGCATTTCCTCACTTTTATTTTACGTAATTCAAAACTTCTAAAATTGCTATGCATTTTTCGAGTTTTTTTTTTGGTTCTTTACATGTAGTAAAATTCGTTCGAATGCGAAACAGAAAAAAAAGTATCTTTAGGCAACTGAATCATTCGAGTATTAAGATTTGTCTTTTGTTCCTTAGCCTAATCTGATAATTTCTTCTTTTTTTGTTCTTCGAAATTAGCGAAAAGAGTAAGATAAAAAAAAATCCATACTCGATTTATTTACTCAATCCCTAGTAAGGCTCCTTGCCAGCAGGCAGCCATTAGGCCAAAGCATTCGAATCAACGTATACAATGGCCGATAGTTTCTTAATCCAATAATTTATTTTTTTGGTAAACTTAAATTTAATTCTACTTTGGTTTCGTTAAATTTTCTCAATAAATGGTGAGAATTTAGCCAATTTGGAAAAAAATCAATTTCAAAATGGGGAACACGACTAGTTTATATTCTAAGTATTGAAAAAAAAGGAATAACGAGTGTAATCACTCAATTAGACATTTATATGTCAATTGAAGAAAGAAAAATATTCGAATATCTAGCCAATGAAATTATGTTAAATCTATATTCCTAATGTTGTTCATTTCATTGTGAGATCATTTTCATGACTCTGAATTTTCGTTGACTCCGAATTTTCTCTCAACTCATCCTTCGTCTCGATTGTGTTTGAAACCCATATAAATATGTGGATTATGGAAAATCATGCGATCAAAAACAAAACCGATTCGATGTTCCGGTTTCATCAATTTGATAAACCATCCGAATATATACTTGTATGTAATATATGACGTTTATGTCAATGGAATGTCATGAATCATCTTACACACAATGTATATATATATATATGTATTGCACAAGTGAAATAATAATGATTTGCAGGTACATCATGAAACAGTCGAAAACGTTTCTGATCTAATTGAACATGTTCTGAAAACACACATACACATTACACACACACGCAGAGTTATTATATTGAAAAATGGTTAACATGAATAATTAATTGCGAATGATAGTGCATAATGGTTAGAATTAAATAATTACCCTATTAAATAATATTCAATATATCATCCATTGAATCGGATATCAGAAAATGTGTTTAGCCAATATCAAGTGGTGTGAGTGAGTGTATGTGTTGAATGTCATTCCAGAAAGAAAAAAAACCGAAATACCTTCACATCAATTTGCGGGGAAAACCATGATTTTGCGAATGGTTTCGAACACACATACATACAGGTTGATATGCTTTTATAAGCGTGATAGAGTTTTGGGAGGAGTTAAGCTTAGGTCTTCGTTCAATAGAGAGAATTTCCATTGTTCAGTGTGATTCGAAGAAAAAGAAAATGTGAATGTGATAGTTGTTCGGAGGCTCTGAAATAATAACAAATCTCTTAATTTTATGATGAGTTCGGAAATGTTTGATTAAAAATTATTTTGGGTGTCTCTTGTAAATATTGGCGTGCATTAAAGTTAAGCTCAAGCTTTTGTTTTGTTTTAATACGAGCTTGACTTTTGGTTTCTAAATGGTATCTCCCGTTTCATTCCATGATTCATTTTGTTTACTGAAACTGTACAGATTAAATGCTACTTAACGTACTTAGAAACGTTTGTTTGAAATTAAGGAAACCACAGATACATTATGAGCTGACAATCCTTTGTTGAGGTTTATGCTTTGGATAAAAACCAGTGAGAGGAGAAGAAAAAGGTGTATGGAGTGATAAAGTTACTATTTGATTTTTGTTTTCAGTGGGCACATTCAGAGTCAGATGCACAGTGGCAACAATAAATTACAATGCCCGAATATGAGGCTTCTATTCCATTTGCTGATGATTTTGGTTTTTTCCCTTCATTTACACTTATGAAACTAGAATCTATTTGTAAGTTGCAATTCCTTGTGTTTAGAGTTAAATGTATATTATTAGGTTTCATCTTAAATGTAAACAATGTTTCTGGGATTTTTTTTTATTTTGGTTAAATTACTTTCACTTAATTAACTTAAGTCGAATTCAAATCCTTGCATGCTTGCAGTATACGTTTTACATGACCAACTTTAATGATTCCCAACTCCTTGAGATCACGTCGTGTTAATGTTAAAAGTTCCTTACCTCGTACATCGTTTCGTGTAAATGTTTCAACATATTCACCCAAGCCCATTGTTTCGAGCCAGGTAACCACCTCGGTAACGCCCCAATTAGCAACCGTTTCACGTGTTGATGCAGTCGATTTCTGGGCCACTGTATTGATTGTACTCTGACTGTTGCCAGCCGCATGGCTACGGAATCGCATCCAAAATGGTTTCGATTTCTTGCGTGTGTCCGGCTATTGAGATAAATTGAAATTTGAAAGAGAAAAAGAATATATCAAAAATTCATGAAAATAATTGCGATAAAAAACATCCGTACATAAAAACGAAAACTTGCGGCCATAAATAAATATTTAATGTGGTAATTTACCTCTTCATTTGGTGCCAATACATTGAGTGAGGCACGCATTAGACCATCAGCCGACTTAGTAACTGACACCTTACGTAGTTCACATTCAGTGTTGGCAAGAGCCACACTCAATTTCGTTTCCAAGTCTTCGCGAAGGATGAGCGTTTGGTTGCGTTCACGCAATAGCTCACAAGAATCTTCGTACAATTGGCGACATGCTGTCACAACTTCAGCTAACTGTACACGCAAATTTGAGCCTTCAACAATTTTCCCCTGCGGATGAATCGCTTCGAGAGCATCGGCTGTACGACATGCCACCGCATACAAATCATGCTCCAACGATGGATGTGATATGATCAAAAATTTGACCCATTTAACCAGCGAACTCGCAATTTCGATGAAATTCAAAAGCAAATAGCTTTCACGTTCCGACATCAATCCGGACGGCAGAGACGCCGATATGCCAGTTGAATCAGACATATTCGATGTTTGTTCACGCGAAATGGAAATGCTGTGTTGTCGCTGCTTCTCTTGCCATGTTTTCAATGACAATTCCAGATTTCGATTGCGGCACAGCATTTGGGCACGATTCTTGTGAATGATTCGAATTATGCCTGGTGGTTGAATCCAAGCTTCGCCATCCACTTGAATCGGTACACCTTCATCGCCCAAAATCGTGATCTGAATACTTTGACACTGAGCGATACGGTGATGTTGCAGGTTGATTAAACGAGATGCAGCCATTTGAACACTGTCACAAACAAATGAAACGAAACGCATTTTTTTGTCGTTATTTATTCCATTGAAGATGAGTTCGTTTGTTGTTTTAACCAAGCAAAATGAAAATTACCTGCCAAAAACAGCAACCACCTCGAGGATTTTGTCATCAAACGATGGAGCCAAAAAGCAATCATCCTCTTTGGTGCCACCCCAAAAATTTGTGCCACCCATAAAACTTGGAATGTTCAAAATTACGATTCCCTGCATCGCTGGCAACGGTATTCGTTGACCGTCACATTCTAATTGTACGCGTTGCTCTAAATTCTTGTATGTTTTCTGTAGCAATTGCTTGGAGCCCAACACTCCATACCACATGTAATTTTTCGCACGTGACCGGCATTTTTCCGGATGCTCTTCGCGTTTCATGTGAAAATCCAATGAAATTTTAGCATCGATACCAATTCCAAAGTAGTTGTTCATTACGCATTTCTCGTAATAGCCTTCCATCAGCGTTTCATCTGGGTCCATTAGTGGACTTACCGCGGCGCACAATGTGTCTGCATTTGCCAATAAGCACTTTGATATGAAGCCTGTCCCATTAGTGATGTCTATGATGCAGGAGAAGTGACATGAGTAATGGGAATAATGAGTCAATTTTTGTTTTTGTCATGAAATTGCAAATTTAGAATGGAAATATTGATTATTCGAGTGAAATATTACACTCACTTGGCCAGTGTGGCGATCGAACAAGCGGATTGATAATCGGTAGTTTTTTCGTTTTATCCGCTTTGTCTTTGCCACTGTTGTCGTCTTTTCCTTTGTCCTCCTTCTCATTGGATCGTCGATCGAATGGGAAATTCAAGCTTGAACCAGCAAATAAGCTCGATTTTGATGATCCAATCGGTTCGTTTGGTTTGAACAAACTGCCACAACTGATGCGTCGTGACGCAGCTGGTGAACAACTCAAAAAACGCATATGTTCCTGATCCAAGCCGAGCGAATTTGGATTAACTCCCGAGTGTCGACGATCTTTTTCCGCATCATACTCTTTCACGGTCAACGATGGTGAATGGCTTGAATGCCGTCGAATTTCACTAATTCGCTGCACGCGCAACGTATTATTACCCATATCCGGTGACGGTGGATCAACATAAACCTGAACCTTCGACTGAGACTTCTAACAATGGACAAAAACACAATGGAAAACATCAATTCAGAACAAACGACGAAAATAAATTACGTTGATTCACAAGCCTACTCTCTACGCAAATGTTGGTTTATTAATCAAATAAATTCACATGGTTGCCCATTGCATTGAAAACAGGGGCCGTCTTAGACATTGATTTGGGTTTAACACACCAACATTTTCAATTGTTTTTTCTCATGGAATGGAATCTATGTGAATGTGGGTGATAATAAATTGCTTATATCTAAATGTGGAATAATAATAATCTAAAACAGATTGCCAATTGTTTTTTTTTCTTGTGGTAAGACATCATCCATTTATATTTAGTTAACAGAAAATGGTATATAAGATAGATAGACAGAAACAGCAAGCCAATCATTCAATGATAAAATAAGAAGAATTAAAATGAATAGGACGGGATCATAGCGATTTAAGGATAAGAAAATTGGTTTAACGTAAAAGAGTACAGCACACATTTAATCGCAACACATTGAACAACCCTATCTCTGATTCATGGCGCCCAAAGAATGTCGGTCGGTCTCTTTATTTTCCCTCGGTAGTACACGTCGCGTAAAATTCATAAAGCAAACCATTTAATTAGAGAAGAACCTTTTACGCTCAGTGAATCCATAATGATTTTTTTTTTAAATGTTCACATTTCCCTCTGAAAAAAAATCGGCGAGTAACGTATTTGCAATTCTGTGGCATATTCCCGCATGGTTATATGAAAGAAGTGGCTGATCAACACAATAATTTACGATGATGAAATCGGTATGGTAACACTCTATCAATATGCTGTTGCTGGGTCGGGCTAACTAAAACGGCTTTTCACTAATTTTCCTGCTTATTATCGTGCAAATTCACTTTGTTAAATGATATTTCGTATTCGCTTAGTGCACAAGTGAACGTGCGTTCGAACTTTGTCCATTCTCCATATGTTGTGTGCTGTGCCAAAACAATGAGCCAACAGAACTTTTTATGCGTGTGTGTGTGTGTGCGGGTCCGAATGAAGCGGTTTAATACGGCTCAAACTTTGTAAATCTCTTTTCCACAGTAAATGCGTTTAGCATTTGCTTTTTACGGGATTTTACCGTATGAAAATGGATGTTGCACGGATTACTAATTGTGTGAGTCAAAATGAAATTTGCACAGCTGTTTTCGTGGCAAATGAAAACCATTCACATTCATTCCATCTATACTAATTAGTCTAATAAATGTAAGTAGCAAATTAGTTGTTGAAATCCAGGGGCAAAATGGCAATCAAAAGGGCTTTCAACTCAAACCCACTAGTTGACCATTGCTTGAAAAGAGAAAGAGAGAGAGAGTAATTGAGAGGGAATGTGTGGAAATGAAGCTTGTGAAACATCAATTCACTGTCAAAAGTCACGGTCATTTGAATAATTTATTTTAAATACCCCATTCACAATTTTCTAGACGCAATAATGGGATAAAGTTCTGAAATAAGCGCACATCAGTACTGTCGAACAAAAATAATAATGAATCCTCATCATAATTTCCGTGTTAAAAACTTTCGAATCACCCAACTGTAAATATGGTGATCTATTTTGTAGAAATATTTTGTTAATTTCACTCGAAAATAAATGGAATACATAATGAATGAAAACGGACAGGTGAATTTTGAATCAGAATTCTGATGAATGCAAATAATGAGCTTTGTTATTTAATGAAAAGGTTGCAAATGTTGGCACATTATTCTGATTAATCACCGTGGGTGGGGATGAATCATATGTGAAAATTGTTGTTACGTCATATAAATTTTGAGTGAACACGTACATATATAAATTAAATTACACTAAATTATACCGCAGCATCGGAACATTTTAGTGAATTCGTGTTAAATGGAATTTAAACTTGCTGAAAATATAAAACCTTGTACACAACGGAATAATCCAATATTCACGTAAAATACAGCGCAAAAGCTCTCTCTCTCTCTCTCTCTCTCTCTCTCTCTCTCTCCTTTTCATTCTTCCACAGCAAGCAACAACCGGAGCTAAAAACAAACACACGTGTTTGATAAATAGCATTCAAACTGTATTCATAACCGGAATGCGAAGATTTAATTACATTTAAAATAACAATGCGTGAAAAGCTCAGTTATTTTGTGTTCTCGAGTAATTTGAGTTTCAGGTGAAAGTTTTATCACGCATTAACTTTGACTTTGAGTTCCGCATTTGTGGTTTCTTGTTCAGCAATTACTAATTTTATATCAACAGGAAATAGAAACCTTGGAAATTTAATTCAAATTGCAACGATTGAGGTATCCTGTATATAGTGGATTTTGAAATATTTCTGGAATCTCTAGATAATATAATTTACTGTAATGAATGTTGGGAAAATGTTTGTGAATAATCCGGAGAGACGTGTAGTTCGCACAAACTGATCACATTTCAATTTGTGCGGTTGAAAAACTTCTTGACATAGTTTAATATAATGTGCGCATACTTAGTGCTTGTTTTACAAACTATAGTAATATTACATATTACATCGCCCCGGTTCAAAACAAATTTAATCTCATCTTTTGACTATGCGGTGGTATGTGGATTTGGATATTTGCTTCCGGGATTCGCAAACTTTGATGAACATCTGGCACGTGTGAGTTTTCCATATGTACATATACATGCATCGTCGTTTGAAAATTGCGAAGAGAAAGTTCATGCAAAAAGTGTCCAGTTCAATATTCATATGCACCGTCGGTCTCTCTATTTGATAAAATGCACTGACATTTGTCATTAAAAAAGTTTGCATCGTGTGGGTTGCTTTATTGGAATTAGTCGTTATCGGCTTATGAATTTTAGAAGTAATTCTACGAACTGTAATTAAACATGAAATATGTGTTTTCCAAATAGTCCTTGATATTATTGGTATGACACTTTTTTTTTCTTCCATTACGTGTATGGAGCCCACACTCGATGGTCGCTGGAAATGTGGAATATTTAAAAACCCTCTTTTTTGAATAGGAAAATAATTCAATTATCCAATTTTCTATAGCCCTCACACAACTTTCGTCGACTATCCATTACCATTCATTCGTCATTGTCCATCACTAAAACCACGAAAACAAAACTGATACGCAAAAGAAGCAGAGACAATATTTTTGTACATTGCGAAATGAAGAAATTTTTATTCAAATGTCAAAACAATAAAACTAAAACGACTCAAAATGGACCAATCAAACTTTCATAAATACTTCCATTTACCAAACTATTTCACATTTCTCGGTGTGTTTCTGCAAAAAAAAGCATCGCGTTCCAAAAGCATATATAAAGACAAACACATACGATTACATCGACGGACACAAAGTTCTAACAATAACAGACCACATACAATAACTCGCACCAACGATTCCGTGTCGTTTATTTGCAATTCATGCTACCATTTTTGCCATCTTTGGCATTTTCAAAGTTACATTAGCAATGTCGAATGGGTGGTTGGTAGATAGAGAGATCTATATAGAAAGCACCACATTCGAGTGTCGCGTTTTCAGGAAAGTTTTTGAGCAAGTTTGTCGTAGATGACGAAATAAACTATTGCTCAGTTTCAGTAAACTGAGTTGCTCCAAATGAAATCGGGCTATATAGGTACATAATATATGCGATGTTGCAAAGTTTTCCTTGAATAAGGTGAATAATATTGATCAACGTTTTTTACGGATGTGTGTTGGTTTGAGAGTAGTTTTGCCAGTAAAATGATACGAACATGGCGGAGATAAACACCAAACTTTTAATTGGAATTGAAAATAGATTCATTTTGTGATAGAGTTGTACCATTGAGAATGTGTATGTGGATGATAACGCTTGGTTCGGGCGCAAACGTATGGCTGAACAAATTGCATAGATTCGTTCACCAGTATCAAGTGAAAATGAAAATGAGTTGCAATTTGAAAATGGGAAACCGTACAAAATGCTCACATTTATTGAATATTCTATTTGCATTGACTTTTTTTTGGAGGGTTTAAGTGAAAATGCTTTTATTGAAATTGCTACTATTCCATCCAAATGTTGTTGAGCCAATATTCTCTTGGGTTGGGGTAGCCAAATTGAAAGTTATCAAAGGGTTAGACACGAATTCATACTCGACAAACACTCGCCGATACTAGAATCTACTCAGTGCTACTCGGTGCCATTTGGTTCAGTGTAATGTGTATACTGTCGAAGAGATGTCAATGTCTACTGACGAGTGTTTTGAGTAGTTTCGAGTTAACATTTAAAATACCTCGGTACTACTCGGTGCAAAATGAAACAAATTCATCAAAAATTGTACGTTGCGTCTACCCCCTTGAAAGTTTTCTATTTTATTTTATGGATTCAGCGTTGAGCTTACAAATGAGAGAAATTTCGCAAGAGCAAAGAAAGAAAAACAGTATAACAGAAGATTGGCGAGGACTGACAGCAAAACCAAAAAACGACATCGAAATGCTCGAGATGGCACGATAACACCGAAATGATCTATTTAATATATATATTTAAATAAAAAATACGAAAGAAACGATACGCAAGACACGATACGAAAACAGAAAATAATGCGTTTGATGATGACAACGTGCGAGACACTGTGTGAATTAGTTACAGCACTACTTTGTCGATAATATTTTATGAAGAGACTTGGGTTGTCGACTGTAATTTTTTTTTGGTTTTTATTTTGTCAAAAAAATTAGATGAAATTTGAATAATGTTTGAGATTGAAAAAGAAGAAACGGACAGAAAGAGTGTGAAAAACTGCGTTTCTGCGTGTAGATTTTTTTTATTGTTTTCATTTTTTTTTCTATGTTTTGTTTGGTTTGGTTTTTTTGTTATGATTTGTTATTTTCTACGTACCTCGTCACCATCATCTTTTTTACATGAATCGTCAAAACTAATATGTCGTCTATAGTTTGTGTGCCCATTTAAATTCGATTGTGATCCCTGTATTTGAACTTTAATCGCGCTTGTTTTATTCTTAGCCAGAGACGATACTAATGGTTGTTGTTTTAGTAATGATTGGTGCGCTTTCACATCGTGTTCATGTTCAGTTTGCGGTCGCGCCAATTGTTCGTTGGTCGAGTGTTGTTGTTGTTCAATTGTAATTGTTGTGGTTTGATTTGGATTCGAAACAATATTCTCGGTTTCGTGTGTCGATGTCGTTGAATCGATTTTATTTCGATTCGGACGCTATTTGACGGGTATGTGTGATTTGGTTTTGTTTTTTTTTTTGGTTTAAAATTTTTGTTGTTTTGGTCATATTTGATTTTAAGAGGGAAGTGAGAGTGAACGCATCGTCAGTGTGTCAGTCAGTTGATTGCAATGTCGCAGAGTTTTTTTTACAAAGTAAAATTAAGTAAGATCAATGTGTCGGTGGTGATATTTTGGAAAAGGTGAAAAGATTTATTGTTGTTTTTTTTTTTTTGGATTTAATCGAAATTAAAGCGCACGATGTTTTTTTTTTTTTGGTTTCACAAAATACACAAAAGAAGAATGCACACAATCAAAAATTACATGTGGAATGGGCAATTCAAGAAGCAAAAGAGAAAGAAAAAAAAAGAAATGGAAGAAGTATTAGAAGAAGATTTAGATGTTCCAAAACAAGAAAAGAATTCAAACAATGTGATTGATTTCGAATCTGTTTTTTTTTAACTTCGACTCTCATTGTTTACAGCAGTAATAACATTCGCAAACGAAACGAAACGAATCGAAACGAAACGAAACGAAAGGAAAGGAAGGAAAGATAGAATCAAAAATCCAATAAACCAAAAGAGCAAATGCACTAAGTGTTAAGTAGCATAATTGAAATGTTGATAAGTGTTTTTTCTTTGTTTATAAACGAATAGAAAAAAAAAGAAACGTATCTCTAACGTGGTGTGAACAAATCAGTTTGGAAATGTTTGCGGTATTCGCATCGACCGAGAGAGAAGAACAAAAATAAAAACAAAGAAAATAAAAATGAAGCAAATGGGGGAAAAACTTGTTCGTGAAATTCAATCATCAATTTGGATTTAAAAAGTTTCTTTTTAAGACGAAAAAATAAGTTTGAAGGTTGGAAGGCTTACCTTGAAGCTTCTGCGCGCGATATCGTTGCCTTCGACAAATTGAGCCAGACTACAGTAACGAATTGGTTCACGTGCTTTCTGGTCATCGCACCGATTATCCATCTCGAAAACGATGTTCTCAAAACCGAATTGAAGTGGATTTTCGTTGGAATTTTCGAGACTATCTTCTCGTTCGACCAACGGTTCATTTGTTTGGTACGTTGTACTGACAGCTGTCACTTTCTTCTTCGATGATAGTTTGCGACGCGGTGGTTTATCTCCGCAAATTGTTGTCGTATCTTCGGTTATGGTGATGTCTTGAATCAATCCCAGTAGATCTGGACTCAATACGGAACTAATATCCTCAAGGAGACTCTCACCATGGAATGGCTCTGTCACATCGCTTGTCAATTCATCATCTTCCGGTGAATCAATGTGGCCCAATCGATCTGATTCTAAGTTCTGTTCCATTTTGGGTTTTTTTTCGCGCATAGAGAGGAAATGTCACATACAGAATTCAAGCTTTAGGATAACAAAATATTCTACCATTTCAATTACCTGAATGATTTCAGCGGCGTGTATTTGTGAAGTTCCGGATGAATTTTTGTCAAGAATTTCGGATGTGACGCTGCATTCTTCGTTACTAATCGCTGATAGAATATCACTGGCTTCAGCAACATTCTCATCGGAAATTGATTGTTCCTAATCAAAAGAGAAATTCACATCAGGCTCCAAACTAATCTTTGGCAATTGTAAAGATACATAGTTATTCTATGGGATGAAACTCACCACGTGATCGGTATCGATGATGGTCATATTTTCGCTGATGTACACATTATCCACCGAAATATTGGTTTCGATGATTGGATTCCGTTCCATCATATCGACGTCAGACATTGAAATGCTGGGCACTTGCAGTGTGTGTGTGATTGTGTTTTGTGACACGTGTTTAATCGTTGCAATTGACTCTTCGCTTTTATCCCGCTCATAGATGGTTGAGCATTGTTGCATGGTTGCTGACCGTAGTAAATTCCGTTCGTATACTTCGTACGGGACAGCCGATCCACAATTTGCATCGTCACCACACAAATAGCCGACATCATAATTATATTCCGATTCGATGTTGTATTTGGTGTCGCTTACAATGTAATGTCCGTTGCCTTCCTCCTCTTGAATGGGCTCCACACCGGAGCTTCGTCGACTTGCAGCGTCTGCAAATTGTTTTGGTACGGGCAAATTCAACGAGCTAAAGAAGTACTCGTCCATTGAGCTGCGACGTTGATCTGGTAACGGGGATAAATTCGAAACGATTGTGGTTTCTTCTGCATTTGAATGAGATTGATAGGATGTGGTTGATTGTGGTTCAATGATCGATGGAGGGGGAGTTGTTGTTAGTGAATCAGTGGTCGATATTATATTTGCGGGTATATTCAAAGCAGCTAAACTATGTTTGCGTGAACCATGCCGTGGCTTATGATCATACAGACCTACAGATTTGCGTACGATAATATATCAATAAGGTGCTACTATACTATATAGTATATAATATTGATAACATCGTATCTTATGAACGTTAAAAATACGTTATCGTAATACAAGGCTGTTATTAACATTAGATTCATCTGATTAATCTCATGAAATAAGATGAATCCGTTATAAGAGGAAATCTTCATTAAAAATAAATTAATCCAGGCTTTGTTATGCGCTAAATCCATCACGCTGAATAAATTCATGCGATTGATTTATGCGATAAATGTAATGCGCTCGCTTTGCGGTGATCGAAGTCTGTTGTTCTTCACTTGTTCACGCATGAACGTTCATGCTTTGCAGTGAACGCATCGCTAAGCGGTAGTGAAGAGCAACAGACCTCGTTCACCGCAAATCTATCGCATGAATTTATTCAGCGTGATGGATTTAGCGCATAACAAAGCCTGAATTAATCCAATCAATAAGTTTGAATTACCGGAATGTTCCATCACAGTGTTGATTGCTAGTTTTAAGCTATTTGCCCGCGTTTGTATTGCTTCTTTGTCACCATTTCGAACGAAATAGCGGCTGTTGCGCCGTTCTTTCGAGTTGTATTTATCTTTTTCAGTCTTAACATTGCTTCCTTTAAAACTAAACGAAATCCGACGTTCGGATGTCACGACGGGCGGCGGTGTGATGGTGCCGTTGGCCGATGATGATTTTGGAATTTCGCCAAAACTCTGATTTTGCTGTAGCATATCATCCAGTATGCGTGCCAATTCACCATTCGATTGACCCGTCAAATTCTCCTCTTTCAGCGTCTCCAACAACATATCCAATTTCTCTCTGTTGAGTACAACGGAAATTGATTTTCAAAATACATTTCAACAAACCACAAACAACAAACAACAAATAATGATTAGTTTTCATTTGACCAGGGAGTGTAACTCCGAGGAGGAGGAATGGTGAGGAGGTGAATGAGGAGGAGGAACCTCCTCAGCGCACTCCTCCTCCTCATTCACCTCCTCACCATTCCTCCTCCTCGGAGTTACACTCCCTGCATTTGACGAGACATAAATAGTACATACAAGTATATTTATGCGAATTTTATTGGAGACTCACCGCAATAAATCACACTTTACTTGCATTTGGTCATCGGTTAGATTGTTGCCCATGACTCTGGATAGCAGCTTGTAAATGGTATCGCAAAGGTGCTTCGCTGAATAGATAACCATGTTGAAATCATCAGTGTCAACGATTTGTGATAAATGACTGTTGACTGTGTCAACGAAATCGAGTAAAATCGATTCCGATGGATTTGAAATGGTTGACATGCGTCGCGGTCGCTCAGCTGGATTCGGTGTGGCCGATTCAATTTCCTTTTCAAACACCATAATGCTCCACCTTCAAATTGTAATTATCAACCTGTTACGTTGCACTTTTTTTTCTCTTCCCCCACTCGAATCGGATTATGCCTGACTTACCGATCCAACATTTTTGTGCTGGCTTTTTCGTATCGTTCCAGTATCTGTGGTAGATGTGCATCATCATCACACGAACTACCCCAGCCGAGTACACGGGCCAAATCATTTCCAGTGCCCAACGGTAGCACAGCCAACTGGCACTTTTTCTAAAATGATTGATTTGTTTACTTTTTCGTTTTTTTTTAATTTCAAATTTCTGTGGATGCAAAATAAGTGAGAAAAAAACTTACAATCAAATCCATGCGATCGATTTCGCTTAGCACCCAACCGACCGAGCCATCGCCCGAGCACACAAGTATTCGGAATGGTTCGAAATGGCGAAAAAGTCGCAAGCCAAGGCCTGGACCCGCCGAAACCAAATCAAACACTTGAGCAGGATTTAAAATCTGTTTGAAACGGCGCAAAAATTTCACACCTTGATTGTCACCCGATTTCGAATTAACAAACACAAGTAGTGGCGAATAGCTTCCATTTGGTTTGACAACATCCCAAGCTTCATCGATGCCAATCGAATGAACGGACGTCGGTGGAATGACTGATAACTGTGCCGAACCCAACGGGCATCGTTGTTTAACAAACGGCCGGCATGCTGTGTGAACTGTTGCGCGACACCACAAGCAGCGCCAATCTTGCAATCGTAACACCGAACCGCAGGTCTTTTTACAAATCATGCATGTTGATGACACTGGCAAATTGCCTTCCATCCACTGATGCGGCATAATGATGTTGCCATCTACATCCTCAATGATTTCACGACCAACAGTTGCCAGCGTAGTCCATTTACTGATTGTGGAATATACAAGAGATAATTATGTATTTTGCACATTCATATGGCTTCCTTACCATATTTTACTTACCAATTAGCTATCGCTTTTGCTGCACATCTTTTATGTGCTTTGCACTTGCAAACTTCACATGATAGCCCGTGTGATGTAACTGCAATGAATATCATAATTTTGTACCGATTTTAATATTTACACAATTCGAAAGGAAAATTTTTGCTCTTTTTGACCAAAAAAATATCTTGTATATTTATTCATTTGCTTTAATTTTCGAAATGGCATCATTAAAAATGACTCACTTAAATCTCGGCACACATTGCAATAAGTAGGTCGATGATAAATATAAATATACCTGCAAATTGCATGAAATTCAATATTTATGTATTTGTTCGTAGCTTTTGAATGAATTAAATTAAGTGGAATTTCAATGAATCCGTACCAATGATGATGATTATTCAAAAAATCTTGTGTCTCAGTCAGTCCGGGTTCGTAGTATTCACGCAATGAAGCGGCTTTTAAGGCAGTCAACCAATCTTCCATTTCTCTTCGTGATTCCGCACACAGTACCAATGATCGAGTTGTTGTTATCAGCTGGAATGAGAGTATGGAGAAACGATTCCATCATATTACAAAAATATATAAAGAGAACAAAATGAACAGTATCCGATTTCAATGAGTTTATTATGCTATCAATTAAATAATGGATGAAAAATGTTGGGATTCAGAAAAAATTCGATTGCATTTCAATATAAGACCGAAAAAAAATGTAATTGATTCAACAAGAATACTTTTATGAGATTGATTTTATTATCAAATGGTTCATTTTTTGTGTCAGTGCAGTGAATTCTGAAAATTTGGACGGATAAAATCACAACAGAAACGAGTGGGAGAGTGCACAATCGGAATAAAATGACGCACTGAAAGCACCAATTGCTATTCAATTCCCTCGATGAATTATTGGAAAACAATTCCACAATCATTTGACAGAAAGCTGAATCATTTGACTTTTTTTTTAAAGTACCAGAATTAAAGTGCCATTAAATCAGGATCCAGTTGAAATTATTGTGAACTGGGAAAAGCATCAAATTTTTTATCAAATTTTTTTTTATTCATGACGAAATTTTATTTCAGCAAATAATTTCAATGCTGATTAAAACCATGTCACAGCAAATCAATTAAAATGAATGGCATGATTGGTGTACTTCAAATCATCCCTAGCTACCGTGAAAAGTTATTTCAATTATGATCCTCCCAGCAAATCGAAATGGTAAAAATGTCAACATTGACAAATGCATGTTTACGTGTTTTATTACATGTTACAACGTTTTTTTTTAATGGAAAATCCATAGAAAAACTCAAACGTAGAATTGCACTTTGAAATGTGCAATTGCCAATATCAGAGCGAAGCAGTAACAAAAAAGCTTTTTATTTCCGTTGAAAATTTAATAGAACATTGCTCTGCAACCGAATAAAAAAAAATGAATAAAATGAAACCTTTTGTGAGATGAAAATATTTCGAGCTGTGAAATTGCCATGACGTCTATCATGTTCAGTGAAATTGCACTCATCACGCTCTCAATTCCATTTTATGGTTTAAAAAACCATCAATTCCATTTTATGGATGGAAAAGCGCATCAAAATCAAAAGCTGGTTAAAAAAAATGAAACACCTCGAGCGAAAAATATGACAGTCTGCTTTTGAGTGTGTAGTGAAATGGAAAAAACGGCTCAGCATAAAAATGTTTGTCAATCCAAACGGTGTTTTCCTTCTCGCTCATTTCGCCCAGAAAATATTTTCCAGCATTTATATTGTTAGTGCACACTATGCAACTGCTGGGAGACACAAGAAGAAAAAAAACAACGTACACAATAAAAGCCATCAACGTTGACACCACACACTTAACCTATTCATGCTACCACTAGAGCTGTATTATATGACTCTCATTTATATTTGCATTGTGGTGTGTGCGCGTGTTTTTTTGCATCAAGTCAATTTAAGATTCTCTTTTGGTTGAAAAAAGAAAGGAAAAATGTTTATCCTTGACAAAACCACCATGAGATGAAGTGCATGTGAAACGCATCTCACAAAGGATCATACAGTTAAGTGAAATAAAATAGATGGAATGACGTTAACAATGTGTCACATATACGCAAAGAGACAATATAAGGAAATAAGGGGGAGGATATCAGGTCGGGATATCATCAATAAAAAAAAAAATTCCCTTTATTATCCGATTCATTCGTCTATAATGACGTTCGTATCTGATTTCCAAAAGCCATTGCAACAATGTTTGCTGTGAATTTCAAGTGGTTGGTTTTCCTACATAGAATATTCTTGCACGTGTAAGAAATTGGTGGCTTCTGAATGAATCACTCTTTAACGTTTCAGCTCCAATCGAAAAATAGCAAGATTTATTGCGAAACGTTATGCGATAGCATCGATGTTTATGATTGTAAATCCAGCCACAAAACACACAGAGACAAAAACATGTCAAACCTTTTTCGATTGTTAGTTATGTTAGTTTACGCAAACAATGTCCTACGCATTTGCGTGGTTCAGTTCATCGATAGCGATACTGTTACGTGCTTGCGTGTGTGTGCGCTATGTTCCAAATTATCATATGCAAATTGACGTTTTACCATGATTCAATAAGAAAAGTCTTTGTCATTCAATCAAATTTTATGATTAGGTTTTACCACCAACAGTCGACGTCAATGAATACGCAGTGGCGGGCGTAACTAATTTCAAACAAATCAAATGGGTTTTTGGTAGTAGAAGCATTCGGCTCGAAATGTTCACATTTCTGTATTGTGTCGATGTGAACAAGCTTATATATTGAGGTCGTTATTACAATTGGATGGTGTAAGCCGATTTGCTAGGCAAAAAAAAAACGAACGCTCGAAGGGTGCATCAAACTTTCGATCAGCCACAAAATGATGAGACTTGTTTAATGTCATCATGACTTTCATCGTAATAAATCGTTTTTGGCCATCGAAAAATGGGAGAAAAACTTTTGCCGAAGATTTTTCGTTTATCATTCCGTTGGAGAGCCCATTCATTCTGGTTTTTCCGATTCAGAATCAGCAGTTGATTTTTTTGCGTTGCTCCAAACAAATGTTTAATAAATACAATTACGGGGATGAAAAAGCGACTGCTCCAATATTTTTCCGCTGAAACAGTCACAAAGCTTGCTTGAGCACAAGGGAAAAAAATACAACCCAATGAAATCAATGGGATATTTTCGAAATTAGCTTTGTGGAAGAAACCGTAAAGCGGATGGGACGACACAAGATGCTTTTTATTGAGATGACAACAAAGGGAATGGTGCTGAAATTGAAAAAAAAGATGACGATTGTACCCACTTCGGAGAATATACTGAAGGATATACCACAAAACCATCGAGTAACAAATATTCCGATGGTTTTTGGCTCAAAGTGGAACATTCATACATAAAGTGCGGAACAAGTTGATTACTGGAAAAAAGTGCTTGTAACGAATGACCTTCGACCAAAAAGCCATTATTGAAGTTGTTACTGTTTGCGTAACATGTCTTAAATTAGCTTAGGGCACTTGGCATCCGTGTTGAAAATGGGAGGAAAACTCCAGCTGAAAACGAAATTGACCGGAAGTTACTAGCTTTGGAATGGGGATAGCAAAATAAACCATCATTCTGAAGAACCAAAGAACAACAGGGAGAGGGAGGGAGAGAGAGAGAGAGAGAGAAAAAGCAAGGAAAAATCGTTTTTTATGCTTCATTTGTTGTTCACGTTGTTTCATCAATTTTTATCGCTCCCTTCCTACACGTTTTGTCATTTAGCAACTTGCCACTTTTAATGATTTTACGGAGGAAGTTGCGTAGCTGGCCAACGCAAAACGGATAAGAAAAAAAAACATGAAAATAACAGGAGTAGACTGAAACGATGGAAAATTGTACACGGAACAAGGTAAACTTTAATGGCTTCATAAAATTTTCGTGTCGCTACACGTAGCAAAGCCATTTATTATTATTTCTTATTGCTTGTCGCGGTTGTTATTGTTATTGTTGTTTTTACTGTGCCATTTTGATTGACTGTTTTTGTTTTATCTTTTGTAAAATTGTGTATTTCTGTTGTATACAGTATTCCGTTGAGAGAAGAAAAAAATGATGCCATTAAATTGGATGTCTTATTTGAGTTAAATTTGTAATTTGATTTGCGTTTATTACCATGGAATGATGTAAGATGCGGACGAGGGGAGCAAACTCCATGACGATTTCGTTGCTCTAAATTGAAGAATTGTGAACGTTAAGCAATTTGGCAAATATACCAATTGCATTGGCGGCATAAACATGCTAAAAATATCCATCTATAGGCTGTATATAAGTCCATGTAGTTGAAACGAAAAACGAGCGCTTTTCGTCGAATAAATCCCGCTGATAGCAACGATTGATAGATGGAACATTGAATCCATATCAAATGATTGACTATTATTTGTTTAGCGAAATTGAATAAAAACACACAGACAGCGAGCTAGCAAATAAGTGAAGGAGACAGAGACTGTGTTTGAACATGCACACTGCGTGCACAACTTGACGTGATTTTCAAAAAAAAAAAACATCTCTGTCATGCAATCAAAATACTTGGCTTGACTATTCTCAACAGGAATATGATGCGGTGCGATGATAAAAGCCTTTAAGTGCTATCTACCGTTTATTTTGGCACCAACCTCAAACTCTCAACACTCAAGTCGTTGACCTCCAAAAACCTCGAAAAATGTATAGACACAATTTATAGACGCAGTTTTTTTTTATTCAGCAAAAAATCAATAAAAGCGTTCACGCCGCTCACAAATGCGAAATACGTTCATACATTCATTGTTTATTTATTGAGTTCGACGCCAGCCATAGAAAATCAATAATCGATTATGGTGTCATATTCATTGTGCCGAATGGACTATTCATGTAATCGTCCCCCAAAATTATAACTACGCGTATGACAGAAAACCCAAAAACCACTGCGAAAGATGACAAAAAAAAAATGAACAACTGTCAATTCTACACAAAAAGAATGCAGTCACATTTTGTATGCTCAGATTTCATGCCATTGACACAGCCAACGAATTGAAATCTGTGGCAACGAGTCGCAAAATGATTGCAGCGCATGACGTCAATCGGATAGATTACATTTACTCTGTGCATTCTTCTCGCTGCCAACTGATGGCATTTTTGGTGGAGAAAGCGAAGGAAAAAAATGGCAGCAGCAGCACACATACAGATTGGCCATTTATTCACCGGTATACTGCATTGAGCGTATAATACTAGGTATAATAAAAGCAAAATTGTTAGCACAAAGTCGAGTGTTTGACGCATGATTTGTAGTCAGAACTGGGTGAAAAGCAATTATGATTTTTTTTTCTAATTTCAAAAATGAAATCATTTTTTTCGGCACCTACAATAAAACTCGTTCAGATAGGCTAGCCAAGAAACTCTCTTCACCGTATTACATTTTTTGTCGTGTGCCCATCAACACGTGCCATTCTTTTTGTTCGTTAATTGTGTCTGAAATGTTGTATTACAGAAATTAAAGGGAAATAAATGATGAAAGTATTACTGT